CACTCAGGGAATTCCCGCAATTGTTCTGGCGAAGGCCCTTGCGCCGCTGCTTACGAGACACCACGAGTGACTACAGTGCCAAAAATAACTGTTCCCAGGGCAAAATCAGGAAGTCACCACCAAGATCCCTATACTGATGCAAGTGACACTCATTTAGCTGAACAATAACATGGTATCACAATGTGTCACTTGTCGCCGTTTGAATGCTCTGACGACAGGCAACAAGCGCAAGATCTAAAACTGTTCCATCCCATAAACGAATACATTTGTTCTTTAAGGTTCCCACACAAGCAAGGAGGCGTCAGAGCTGTCAATCCACATTGCACTATGCCAAAAAACTGCCTGTTTGCACAATGACACAATAGCGGTCCTTTTTACCCTTTTTTAAGCCAGTCAATCTGTACTGCATTCTCTTGATATAGAGGGTGTTATATCTTCATTCTTGCCTTTGTCCTGTTGTTGCTTGGGGTGCAGACAAGCTTGACAAGCCTTGCTTGGGAGTAAAGCCAGTTTGCCCAAAAGCTTCCTAACAAATGACAAACCACACCCATGTGATCACTTTATTAAATCAAACATCACTGGTACCATGAGGTCATAGCAAATCTTGTGATTTCCGGCTGGCATGGAAAAAAGAAAGACAAGAGGATACCCACAAATCTCTACAGAAAGCAAATTCATCCTCTCCAACATCTATCAAGAATAGTACATTCATTTTGGGAATGAACCAAAACGATCACTTAATGGATTTTTACACGTTTTTGTTCCTGAGGTCTATTTTCCTTAAAACATGTTTGAAAGTAGGTCAGCGAGGAGGCCGCCCTTCTAAACTTAATGGAGGGTACAGACCTGCTGTGAGATTCCTCGCTCTTTCGCACACATCTGAAGGAACAACAGGGCCATGGTCTTTGCCTATAGGGTCCTATGTATTTTTAACAGAGGAATAAAACTGTGAATAGATATCTCATCACCAGTTGACACCCATCCCCAGTCCTTCACACAAACAGATAATCTGTCCTTAAATAATAGCAACCTCCTACACACATCCATACATCACACACTATCTGCATCTCTTTGTTTTTGTTATCTCTGGTGACTTTCCCACATCATCATAATGCATCCCAGAGATTCACGCCATAATCAGATATCAAGCCCATCAACAGTTTAGAGAGATGAAAACAGACAAGAACAGACATATTTACGTGCCTCCAAGAAAACTCCAGTCAGCCAGCTAGCGTGCTTTAAAAGTTTAACAACGTTTCTTAAAGTCTGAAAAAATGCAGTTAAGTCCCTGAGGACAGGGAACACATCCATTAGAGACTCACCTGAGGAAGAAACAGTAAGAATGTTCCATCAGTACTAACTTACAGCTGACAAAACAACAGCATGATACAACTAGAGTTTTCCTCAGGGAGCTCAGTTGGAACGCTGACATCTGTCATCAGTAAATCACAAAAAGTAACCATTTACAAGAGTTTTGTAATCTCCACCTTCTGTGCGAGATTCCTGGCCCCACAATAAGTCCATTTGGTTTGACATCATTGCCCGCAAAGCTTCAGAAGATGCAGCCTTGTATTTCTCTGGGGATCTTGTTCTACGTAACTGATTACACTCTGAAAATTTGTTTTGTTTTCATTTATGTAGAACAAATTCAAACCTCCATTCCATGAACAGCGCCTTATGCATCTGAAAGGCTTTAAATAGGTCTCACTGCTTCAGCATCTACAAAGGAAGTTTAATAAGGCCTGTGGTTCTTGGGCCATTGTTCTGGGAAAGCTATATTGAAGGCCCCCCATTCTGCCAACTACTGATGAAAGTCTACTTCAAACACTGTTTGGTAACATGACCAAAATGCAGCATTTATTGAGCTTGCTAGAGCTGTTCTCCAATTCATTACATACCTGACTAAGTGTGATGCTATCAGGTGGCCACGTGCTCATGAGGCCTCTGCTAAATCCCATTCTGCCTACACTTCTGCACACCCACATGCCCTGAGAGGTGAACCATTCATCATGACTGCCTCATATTTGCAGTAAGGGCAGTGGCCAACGCAGACTGATTCATACCTAAAGCATGTAACTGAGTCAGATCAACACCTGGCAACATCAAAGAATCAGAATGAATGAGTAAACAGCGTATAAACAAACACATAATAAAATGCAAAAATCAAACAGTGGCTGGAAGAGGTGTGTTTTCAGAGTGAGAATGACAGGCAGAGACCTGCTTCAGCTCTACACCGGGTCCAAAAACACTGGCTTCATTAATACCTGAATAGCCAGTGCTGAAAAATAACTGCCCAAATAAGGTCATTTTCTCAGCCAAATGTGAAATTGCTCAGCCTGGTGCTTATGTACAGGTTAGGTGACCGCAGTGCTTTGAGGCAGTTAACTTGCTTTGTTTAAAAAATTAAAAGACATTGCGCAATGTGCTGGTTTTATGATGCATTATTTTGTGTTTCAGATTTCTCCTGATTTATAATAATTAGATGTATTTAAAGTTAGTTGATTTTCTATGTGAATTGGGTTTTTCCTTTTGTTCTGTGATGTGATATTACCGGATTGCATGGCGATATAATCAAAAATAAGATGCTTAAGTGGCAAATAAAAGTCATTACATTTTTAAAAGAAGTGGAAAATGGCTTGTAAATGGCTTGTTATGATGAATCAGACTTAAAATGACATAAAACTAAAAAGGTAGTTAATGTCAGCTTTGATTTCAGGTTGACTATAAAGTTAATTTTTAAGCTCTAACACTGCAACAAAGCCAAACAGGCCTAATCAAGCCTAATCTTGGAATAATGGCGATTCACCATGGAAAATCCTTTGAAGTTTTAAGCTTAGGCTTAACTTTTGTCTGGAAAACTGGCCCTTAAGGTTGAAAGCAAAAGCATCCCCAATTACAAATTGAGTTAAAGTCTCTTGAAGCTAAAAAAGGCAGATAAAATGCTAAACAGACGGTTTCTTTCAAGGTGCTGTAGCTGGACATCCATGGAGACGTCCAGTCGGCTCCATGCACAGTCTGACAGCCTTCTATTGTATCACTTCAATGGACTAATCCCCACTCCCCCTCGTCCACAGGGCACTGACTGGTTCAAGAATGCCCCAACTGCAGACATGGCCATTTAAAACTTAATCAGGAATTACTCCCACAAAAGATTCATTGAGTCTTAAATCCAATAATAATATAAATCATCCAATCACATGGACCCACAGCATAATCATATTAAACATCTTGTGTGATCAAAATATCCGTACAATGAACATATTGCTTCATGCATTAAGAATTCTATGAGTTTGGGCTCTCTGGGTTTATAATTCATTAGACATTATACATACATTTATATATATATATATATATATACATATATATATATATATATATACACATATATACATATATATATACATATATATATATACATATATACATATATATATACATATATACATATATATATACATATATATATATACACACATACACACACATAAACTTTTCCTCAAAAGTAGATCGGCTTATTGTAAAGTGTCTCTCAGCGTTCGACTGTTTTACGAGGCTGAAGTCGCTTCTCATTCTCCAGCTTCTCATTCGGATTTTCCCGTTCCACCTTAAATTCTGACTCAGGCGCCGAATGTAAATGCAACACCATTTAAGGTGGAACGGGAAAATTCGAAAGAGAAGCAAATTCATCTTCGCAACTGTTTAGTGTTTCACAGTCTCTTGTTGCAGATTTAACTGCGCATTTTATATATATATATATATATATATATATATATATATATATATATATAGTACACAGTGCAAAGTGAAGACCTTTTCAGCATATGTGGACATACAGATATCTGGTCTTAAGTTAAACAATGTGATATAATGCCTGTGAGTCTGGGAAAGAGTTTCAGAAGGATTTCCAAAATATTAGAAATCAATCACTGCACTGTCCCGAAGAGCATCTACAAGTAGAGATTTAAAACCACTGTCAAAATCTCCAGGCCAGGCCGGCCCAGCAAAAGTAGCTCTCGCCTCAGTGGATGTCAAAGTGCATGCATCTATCATAAGAATGAGACTGCACGTATCTGACCTATATGGGAGGTTGCTGTCTAAAAAGATCATGAGGGCCAGACTAAAGTTTGCTAATCAAAATCTAGGCAAGGACTTGGACTTCTGGAACAATGTGCTATGGACAGGCGAGTCAAAGATTGCTTGGCTACAGTACCAGAAGCCATGTTAGGTGAAAACACAGCATTTGATCAGAAGAACCTCAAACCAACTATAGAGCACGGTGGTGGAAATGTTATGGTTTAGGGCTGCTTTGCTGCCTCAGGGCCTGACCAGCTTGCAATCATAGAATCAACTGTGAATTCTCTCTCAAACCAGAGAGAGCTTGAGGAGAATGTGAGGCCATCTGCCAAAAAAATGAAGTTGAAGAAACAGATTGTCCAACAGGATAAAAATCCCAAACATACACGTAAACTCCCAAATTAAAGAATGGTTTGAAAGGAAGAAATAGATGGTTGTGGATCTGAATCCCCTTGAAATACTGTAGGGGGATTTCAATATAAGAAGTCCAGCAAATGCTGCACAGCTGAAATAATTCTGCATGAAGTAGTGGGCAAAATTTCTCCAAGTAGATGCTGGAAACTGGTAGATGCCTACATAAAGTTGTTTTTGTCAAAAAGGGCAATACTAGTTTCTAAAGCCGGGGGGGTGGTACTGGTGAGAACTTTTTTCCAACAGAAAACCCTACAGAAAAAAAGAGACCTCAATTTTTTTTTAAATAAATGATTGCAAAATTACATTTTCTATTATGTAACATCTGTACATTCCGTTTAGCTGATGATCAAATACTGATGCCCACAACCAGCTGTTACGGATGACGAAATTCCACTTAAGGGACAGTTCCAGGAAACAATGAAAGAATGAACTACAGGTATGATACTGGTTAACACTACAACAGCATGAGGCTCACATATACACTCAACATAAAATGATTCATTACTTGTAGGATTGTATTAGTGTTTTAACAGAAGAAGCATACTAGCTTGAATACTTACAAGACAAAACATACACGAAAAAATGTGGCTGGCTATGAAGTTACCACCACATTTTATACTGAAGTACATGTAAATATACAGCACTGTGCAAAATTCAGAGACCATTTTGTTTATTTAATTTCCAGTCAAAGCAGCCATTGAGGTTTTCATTTTCCAGCATTAGGAAAAAAGGCCCAAGACGCATTTACCAGAAAATTACACAGATGACTCAATCAAATATTCTATCATTTTACATAATTAGTGTGTCCACCTTTCAGTCTTTGAAGTTGGTTGCATTTTCTGCTTTCCACGATCCAAACACACTCTGTAATGTTGAGGTTTGGACTCTGGGGTGGCCAGTCCATTGTTCTGAGAACACCATTTTGTTTGATTTACAGATTTTCTTCTTTTTTGTCTATTTCCTTTTCTCAGTGAGGCTTCTTGACAGATACACATCCTTTCAGACCCATAGCCCTGAATTGTCTTCTCACAGTGGAAGGATGGACAGAAGTACCTATGGATTTTTTTCCAGAAGCAAGAGTGGAGCTTGATTTTCTGCTCTCTCTCAAAGATGAATTTTAGTAACTGCTTGTCATATATCAAAGGTCTTCAGAAATAAATTCTGAAAAAGTGAAGAACTTGTACTTAATGGCTATTTTAACTGAAAACTAAATAAATGTATTTAACTGGAAACTTATTTTAGCACAGTACTACGTCTGCTTGCAGCATCTAAGAGATTAGAGTAATTAGAAAGCAGTACTGAGATAGAGTATCTTCTGCCTTTACGCTTCTTATCAGCCGAACTGTAATGCAAAATGATACATTATCAGAGGAACTTTTTAAGCCTGTACAGTGATACCTAAATCAAGCTAACATCGAGTTAACATGCAGCTAACCCTTCAAAACAGCCCAGACAGACAACTATTTTGGCTCTCTGCCACTTGCTGAAAACACTAGACTGTCAAGTTTTTGGCTGTAGTGTGTATTTAAATTAACACAGACCCGCTATCACCCAACAGAATGAAGAGCAGGTGTGAGAAACTTACAAAAACAAAGATTCTCACACACACACACACACACACACCACATTATCTTCCCTGTTCCAGGAAATCACTTACTTTTTATTCACACTTGGACCAACCAACCTGTTCAAAGTGAGCGCCAAAAAAGTGACACCTTTAACAGTGTACTCTCGTTGTAAACTTTCTTTATTGGAAAACCATACGCCCCGCTACCACCTATGAGCCAAATGACACTCTGGTCTATATGTGAAAGAAAAAAAAGGGTTAAATACAATAAATCACTTGGATTTAAAATATATAGTGGTTTAGCTTACAGCACAGCAGTAGGTAAGTACAGCCATTGTTTCACGTCTGGGCAGGACATCCTTGAAGGAGGCACTGCATATGCTCACTGATGAATAGCATACTTTCTCAGGGGTCATCCTGAGAGGAGGAAGGTTGAAATACGACTGGTAGCCCAAGTTTTATGGCTCTTAAGTGAGTCTGCAGTAGTTTAGCTGTATTAGTGGGTCATATGTAAGTTTAAATGATCTAGGCCAACGTTGCCCAGATTCGGCCCTGTGTGGTGGGAGTCCAGCACAGTTTGGCGACGTCCCTAGTGATGTACTAAGCCTGGTAATTTGTTAATGAGGAGAATCAGGTCTCTTTGAGCAAGGAAATCAACAAAGAATGTTGAACTCCAGTTCTCCAGATCCATAGAGGGGCTTCCCTGATGCAACACTTTTGGAGAAACAGTGCACTTTATATGTAAAACACAGTATAATCAATTAACTTTTACCCACATGGACATAGCAGCAGCAGCAGAACTGTAGGACGCTGCAAAGCACAACCATTCTGAAGTTCATCTGCTTTGTAGGAGGCCACTGTGAGTCTACTGTTTTCACAGGGACAAAATGCTACCAGTTTTGTGCTGCTTTGAGTGGCTTTATTTTCTGTAGTGTTTTAATGCAGCAAAAGTGCAAAACACAGTTCCATATGTGCTCCAGAATCACTCAGGAGAGTGCATTAGCGAATTAGCATGTGAAAATACACTGTAAAGGTTCAAGGACCTTTGGGTCTGCCAGATACCGATTTGCCTCAGGTAGTGATAAAAGAGGAATCCAAGCCAAACAACCTTGCTGCTGATACTGTGAGATAACTGCAGTCCTTCAGTAATGGATTGTCAGACATGAAAAGGACAGCGAAAGACTAATAGAATGAGTTTGGTGAATGATGAATTAGTAAACTAGCAGGTATGGAAGTTAAATTCTGTCCTCTACTTAAGTGGAGGATGTGCATTAACAGAATGTCAGCTCCACAGGAGTATAAGCTCATTAATATGATCCCATTGCCTGTTCTGAAGCATACAGTACCTTATAACATTAAAGAAACAACACACTTCAGTGAATAATTCCAAGAATGACTTGTTTCTTAGTGAATAACTACGATTGCTAAGGGTCCACCACAACCCACAAAAATTAAAGTTGGATTTTTAACATTTGCCATCACAGAAGATCATGGTTTCTCCCTCAATGCCTGATTATGAGCTTCGTGTTTGATCTATGCAGTGACAACAAGCAACAGTCAGTGAAAAATCAAAAGCAAGCCCTGTGAAAACTAGGCCATAACACCCCAGTCAAAGGAAAATATGCTGAGGCATGACCGTGCTGTAAAATCACTGATCAAGAGGGGGAGTCACAGGGGCATGCAGGCGGCCATAAGGTACAGCCCGGGGGCAGAACACAGGGTGGGACAGACTATCATCGCAAAGCTACTAACAAGAGCAGGAGCTGACCCTGATTAACGGTGAGATCAACATCCTGGATGATGTCAGGATGACACAATTAATACATTGACACCATGAGGTGTGGGGGAGTCAGAGCACTGGGGGCAAAAGTGAGATAAACAGCAGGCTAGGAAGCAAGGAAACGCGATGCCATCATGTGAGGGGAAATCAGCACAGTGAAAATAGCCTCCTGAGCCCAGCCCGGTGGACCAAACAAACGCTCTGCCCCAAGCTGGGTCTAGTGCTCATACAGTCATTTCCTTTAATTGTCTGTGATAATTATCTAAAGCATTTTAATCATAAACAGTGGAAAGGTGATTAATGTCTTGCAAGTATCTTAAAAACTCATCCAGTGATTCAAAAAAAGGCAATGCCAAATAAAAGATTTTTCTTGTTTAAAAAAAAAAAAAGAGAAAAAAAATAACACATTCCATCAGTTATGCTGCATTTCTGCATCCATGATTCTTACTCATTAAAAAGGTACCTAATTTTGTGCTTTTCGTCTTTCATGCGAGGAGCACTCACACGATCTGAAGTTTCACTTAATTAAAGCCACAGGAACGTGGCTTTACCTCACATAGTAAGCAAAACAGACCAAAACAAACGGCTGTCGCCTCGGTCGGGGTCCTTAAACGCATGCATAACAAGGTCTTGTTTGGGGAAAAACTTCCAAGCCTTATCCCTGCACTTTAAATAGTTGTATAAAAGTAGTCCGGTGGTAGTAGATAAACAACGAGGTTAATCGCTGCTTAATATGCGCTCAATCTCCTCCAGTCTCTTCAAGGCGGCCTCCCTTTTCTTTTCTATGTCTTTAATCTCTTTTGTGGATTTGCTCTTAGTCCGCTTGTCACGCTGGCCAGCGTCTAGCCTCTTCACCTTGCCCTTGCCCAGGCCGCCAGAGCTTTCAGCAGGGGAGGATTTCCGCAAATTCTTCTCGTTCCCAGCCCCTTCCCGTGTTCCTGCTTTTGCAGCAGCACGCCACTCTTCGTCCTCCTCCTCTCCTTTTCCACGGCCCTCCTGCTGCTGTTGATGCTGGTGATGCTGCTGCTGCTTTTCCGGGAGGCCGGCGCCCTCTGCTGGCACCAGCGGCTGGCCGGCAGTGCTCATGGCCGCCATTTTGCCGCGGACGATGGCCAGGTGGCGGCGTATGTACTCTTCGTTCGGAGCCATGGCCAGAGTCTCCTCCAGGCAGCGCTCAGCCCGTGGCAGGTCCCTTTCCTCAAAGTAGACTACACAGAGGTTGTGCTTGGCCTGGACGTTGCCGGGATCTGTTTGGAGGATGCGCTGGAAGCAGGCTCGGGCGCCCTGAGTGTCCTTGCGGTGGTTCATGAGGATGTCACCCTTCAGTATGAGGCCCTTGACGTGTTCTGGATGGTGCCGCAGGAGCTCGTCCAGCACGGGCAGGGCCTCCAGCTCACGCTGAGACTGAGAGAACAGCAGCGCCAGATTGAAGAGGGCGCTCCGGAAACCCGGCTGCAACCGGATAGCCTGTCGCATCCAGCGCTCGGCAGCATCATTCTCATTGGCGTCCATGGCTAGCATGCCCAGGTTGAAGTAGCCATTAGCATCGTCAGGTTCCTCCTTTACATAGGTCAGGAAGCGGCGGTTGGCTTCGGGACGGAACTTCACCTCACCTACAACAGAGGACAATCAATAAAAAGGGCTAAAATTCATAACTTGGCTTTATGTGATAAACGTACACGCAGCTAGTTTCAGGTTGTGAGCTGCATGGAACTTTTTGTCCAATATCTGGAAATAAGTGGTATACAATACACTTAAATAGAGATGAAAGGATTGATTGGCTATCTATGTGTATCAGCCAGTTCTCAGCCCAAATATGCAACTGGCAATCAGATGATACTTCTCTAACTTAGCCGATCCTGAGAGCTGATCAGCGACATAAAACATATGAGCCATATTTTATCTGAGGCGCCAGAATGCAACTGCTACACCATTTAAGGTGGAACGGAAAAATTCTAACAAGAAGCTGGCAAATAGGAAGCCAATTTCAGCCTCATCCTATCTATTTCACCAATGAAAAACATTTTGTCTCCTGCTTTGCTATAAACTCGCTGTGTGAACGTGTAGAGCTGTAATTAATGTGGTTTATTGTCAACGCTTTGAGGATTCATTTCTGTTAGCATGTTGGCATCTGTGCGCTAATCTAAGCTTAGCTGACACTGCACAAGCTTCATGACCTACGGTGCTTAAGGCAGGGGCTGAAAGTAAAAATAACGCATAAAGGAAATGATGTAGAACTACAAAAGCGATCGCAATGCAGCCCCTTTTACTGCATATTTAAAAATCCACCTGTGTGGCAGGAGGACAGTTTTGTCCTGTCAGCTGCGTTGGTTGCGCAGACTCCGGTTATTTCTACAGTTACGCTAGCTTGAGTAACCAGAATGTAACTGCTGCACCACTTATGGTGAAATGAGAAAATGCAAACAAGAAGCTGGCAAAAATAAGCTGACTTGAGCTGGGGTGTATTTCTTTTGCTGTTGACTTCAAATATCAACAATCGATTTTCTGAATTGCTTACTGTTAGTGAGCATCATAAGAGGAGATAATAAATAACCAAGCAGATAGGGCAGACTATGATGACATCAGGCTAGCAATGCAAAACAAATCACTGTTTTCGGAACAAAACCTTGTATCTCCAAAACAGTAACTTTACAGGAGATGGAAAAATCCTACTTTACTTTTAATGTAAATCAATAGAACCAGACATCTTTCCAAGTAATTTTGGGCCATTTATTTTGGTCCATTCATCATTCAATTTTGACACAAAAGGGCAACAGGCATTTTCAAATTATGTCAAATACTGAAAAATGGAGATGTTAGGTTTTGTTCCGACAGCAGCAAAATGCTGGCACAAGCAGTCATGTTATGTCATAATAACATTAGCTAGCTAGTTATGCTAACTGCGTAGCAGAAGAAAGTAAAATCCAAGAGACAACTGCCTGTGTCTTACAGCTTTCTTCACAAAGATAAGACAGTTGGAGCTGTTTTAGCTGACTATTAAACAGGCGTGAAAATAACTGCAGGAGGCTTTACATTATGCAACGCAAGCAAAATTTAGTTTCACATAAGTTTAAAGCAACTCAAGTTGCGTGAAAATGTCACCATGTAAAGCCAGCCTTATGATTGATTAACCTTTGAAAAACTAAGCTTTTATCTCAATAATCCTTTTCAGAGTTTGCTACCTAGTGTTCAAAAGCCCATCCTACACTTACTCTGCCACAGCAACTCAGGTCTGTAAACTAGCATTGGGCAAATTTAAGCCCCAATTATTTACAGTTGACAGATCACTCTAGGTCCTGCCCACAGTACTGCAACCTGAATAAAGACAGAACGTTTCCCATCAAACTAACATAAACAAGAAGACAATAGAGGTGCTGTTTTCACATTATTTACATTACAGCAGCGTAGGTGTGTAAACACCGGGGCAAATGACAAACTCACGAACACTAAAGACTAAAGCCTCTCTGGAAACATGTGAATCTGTCCTGCTTTTCAGCTATTCAAAAAAAAGGCATAAATCTCTCAACGAGCCACGATTAATATTTCTATTACAAACGCTGCTTCAGAAGCTAGCATTCCAAAAGTATGAGAAAACATAGAACATAAATAAAACATAGAATGTAAATAATACATGATGAATGAGTTTCCCTCAGCATCACTATCTCTCTCCTGGTATCTGAGATCTCACTTTAATCCAAAACACGCATTACCAGGAAGGTGCATTTGAAGCAGTATTTCTTGCTTATCTCATTCTTCTGCTTTTTTTCCCCCCATTTTAAACAAGACTGGTGAAGGGAATAAGGTTTTGGAGGAGTTTAACATTGCACAAGCATTTGATAAATTTCACTGAATAATCTTTTCAGTCTCACGCACCAGACTCCTGCATGAGCAGAGCTGAGTTGAAAAGTGCGAGTTTGTGCCGCGGGTTCAGGTCCAGTGCGCGGTTGAAGTTCCTTAGAGCTTCGGAGGGCTCCTTCATCTCGATGTTGACAATAGCCAGGTTGTACCACAGGTCAGCATTGGAACGATCCAACTCTAACGCCCGCAAGTAGGCATCCCGTGCCTCGTTGGGCTTATTCATCTTCAAAAGGAGCTCTCCTCTGCACAAAACACAGAGAAATAAATTCTTAAACAAATATAACAGCATGGCGTTTAAAAAGAGGCATGACCCTTTCAGTGATCCATCACCTTCAGTGAACGATGTGTTGACATCAAGCTTAGAGTAAAAATAACTGACAGTTTTGCAGTTATAATAAAAGAAAAACCTGACTCAACTCTGGCATAAAACAAACAAATATGCTAACTATAAAAAAGGACAAACACAAAAATGATTAACGATTTGAAAGATCCACTTCTAACGGTTGAGTAATGTAATCATACGGGATTTAACTAAGTTGATCTAGGATATTAGAACAGGCGTTGTAACCAATACTATACAAAGCCGTATATATTGCACGTACTTGTCCACGCATGATCCTAGGCGCTTGCTCAGAAACTTAAGGCAAGGAGACACTGATTAATGTCAAACTAGTGTTGAAATCATTTTCAAGCACGATTTCTGAATGGAGTATGATTATGCAAGACTGCTATTTTACAGGTTCTTCAATGGTACAACTACCTGGCTAATACATTAATATTAATTACCAAAGCTTTACCAAGGCAACATGTGTCTTCTATTGAGCAGAAAAGGTCATGCCATTGTGGTTCAGCAACTACCCTGCCAGTGCCAAAGCATTACTTTTGTTACACATGCAGTTTTAAAATGTAATCACCTGGCTGCCTGTACACATACATTAAAATACAAGCTAATTCCTGACCCAGAGAACATAGCCAGGTGGACTTGCCTGCTGATGTAGGCCTGTTTGAAGTCTGGCCTCATGCTAATAGCTTGTCTGTATAGTTGGTCGGCTTCCTCTAGTCGCGAGTCATTGGCCCGGATTAAGTTGGCCAGGTTGATGTAGACGTTCAGGTGGTTGGGGGCCACTCGAGTAGCATATTTCTTTCCTGGAATTATCTGGCATATTGGAAGGAGGAGGGAAAAAAGGGAAAAAAAACACTGTATAGAAAAGCACAGGCCACCATGGTTTATAGTCAAAATAAAACAGTAGGACAGATTGCAGGTACCATAATTCAAGACACGGGATAAAACTGAATAATAACCTAAGCCAACTGGCCTTATTTTCAGCCTGATTCAGAGTTTTAGGCTATTAGACCATTACATCCCACTATATTTTGTGATACTGCGCTTTAGGTCATATAAACCGACTGATATATAGCTTGCTCATGTACTTTCACCTGATCTCTTCCTTCATACTTATTTATCTGGCTTTGCCAAGTAATCATAAAGCAGGATTGTCTAACTTCAGCCACTGAGAACAAATAAAACACCAGCATAGCTTATCAGTTGAATGCAGTGGCTCTCCTGCATCAAAGCTCGAGAGCACCGCCATAAAGTTTATACAGAGTCTAGTAAGAATATATCCTATGATGAAACAGTGGCTGTATAATAGGGTTTCACAAAGAGGCCAGTGACATTAACATTGGAAAACAAAGACATGCCTGCTGTTGGCATGAGAACTAATTAATTACAAATTTAGCACAGCCACAACACTGTTGTTGTTGTTATTGGGTCTAAATATGCCTCCCACTCCTTTAAGCCTGATTTCCGTGAGCTACATTTCACAACCAAGAGAGTAATTCATTATTTTTTCTGGCAGAAATTTTGTTGTTTGTTAGCTTCCATGCCAAAATCTTCTCACCACTCACATCTACAAAGAACATCACTGATCATTAACGTTCAGAAAGAATATTTGTTTTTAACATTTTTTTTAATTTTTGGCTTTTACATATTGTTGATCTTCTGATTAACCTTTTAAGTTCAGATTTCAGCAGCACTGTTTAATCTGGTGCACTCAGGTCTAGTGAGAATCAAATGAGATACAATGAATAAGCTACAGCTTATGAATGACAGTTATGTCATTTGTTTGACATAAACATTGCCTAGGTGTATAACTGCTTTTAATCCAAGGCTGAGTACTTTCCATGAAGAGGAGAATAGACTCTGACGTAGCCATGAGGGCTTGTCATACCCCATACCTGTGGCATAAGAGATTTTGCAACCAGATACGCCTCCTCTGCCTCTTTGGATCGATTGAGGTTCTTGTATGTTCTTCCAACGTTCATGTGGGCTCCGATATCGTCTACAAAAGACGGAGACTTGTAAAAATTTCATGTCATCCCAGAACAAACCAAAAAAGAATCAAGACAACAGGACAGGCATCTTGTAGCAACTCGCAAGGTCTTATATAGGGATGCACCGATACCACTTCTTCCCCTTACGATACTGATACTTGATCCTTTGGTATCCGCCGATACAGAATACCAATACCGATAACTCTTTCTAGCCTAACTCACCTATAGGTCCTAATATTTATACAATTACATCTTAAAAATATTTTATTTTGTTAAAATCTATGTTCTGCATCACAAATAGACTGTAAGTGACCACATAGCGGCAGATGAGTGATTACTGAAAGAGGCAGCTTGGCTGTTCGGGTAAGCAGCTCTGCTAGTGTGTTTTTCACACCAGAAACTGCCATTACAGATTCTGCCATGAGCATTATCCCACACTGCCAATTTGTTGTTAAGTTCTGTCTACTGGCGTGCATGCACGAATCAGAACTTGCTTTGTCGTGACAGTCACAGGTATCGGTATCCCCATCACCGATATGGATACCGTGCTTAAGTGTCGGTATCGGCTCAGATACCAATACAGTATCAGTATCGATGCAACACTAGTCTTATACACTGTAAGTTTTTAACCTAAAGTAAGTTTCATATTTCGTTTTAACTTGTCTATTCCTTCTAAATTTTGAGTTCACAGACTGTCTAATAGTAAATCAACTGGACAATATTTTCTGTAATATTCTATTAAATTATTATTTAAAGTTCAATACAACCTAAATTTTGAAGGAAGCCAGGTTAGTCAACTCTAAGTAAAAACAGTGAAGCGTTTTTTGTTTTACAGGGCAGTCAGGCAAACTTGTACAATCAAGAGAAACAATGCACATAACAAATGAATGGGACACCTAAAGACGACATGCCAAGCGTATCAAGACTTAAAAAAAAATCTGCTGAACTGAAACATGCATGTAATTGCTTTCACATCTGATTTTCTGTTTCTCACAAATCAACTCATGAGGAAACAGTGACCAGTGGGGAAAGTGGGTTTTTGTAGCTCTGTGTGATGCAGATAACGTCACAATTGTTTCAGTTTAAAGGCAATGTTATGAGAAGCAAACTGATGCATAAAGATAACTGCAGGCCAGGATATCCTCATTCCAACATGTATTTACATGGTTGATCTTAGGAAAACACTTGTGGGTGGCAAATGCTGTTAGCTCAACTAACGAAATACAAACATCTTTGTGTATGAAGTGGCAAACGTGTGTGTAGATTGGCAGTAATGAGGTTTATCTATGTTCTGAGGACTTACCTATCTGAGAATGAAAAAAAAACAGCTGATGCTTTTATAAAGTCCCATGAAATTCCAAATCAGCTACTTTTTATTTAGCTTCCCTGCAATGTTGGATGCTGTTCTCGGTCACATCACCAAAATAATGATTCTTAACAAAGCCACAATATCTAGCACACTCCAAAAAAATCTCAAAAGCCTTGTTTTGTTTGAGATACGTTTCCTGTTAATTAATTTCCACTGCCAGCATTTCATAAAGCAGCAAGAAACAAAGTCAGCAAACATATGTATAATTATTGTTGCCAAACCAAATACTACTTTACAGCACTTGGTTGCTTTAGACTGTGGAAACATGTTAATCATGTATGATTATAAAAGCAAATCCAGCTGATGTGAACTTTATTGACCTTATGAAAGGTGAGAGAAAGCTTGCTGATTAATCATACCTGGTTGCACTCTCGTGGCCTGGAGGAAATACCTGAGAGCTCGCTCATAATTATGCTGATTCTCCAGAGCATGGCCAACATTATTCCAAAGCTTGGCATTGTTCTTGTTCACCTGAAGAGAAGCAATTTTGACACGACAGAATATTGGAAAACATCATTAATGCTGAGAATTTTTTCTGGCGATCTTCAGTCGTAAATTTGGCAGTATCTGTTACAAATGTGTCTTTACAAATACTCAGTTCATACTTTTAATGCTGACGTGAAAAGTGTGTACTCCGACTCCCAGTCCCAGGTCCTGTTGAACGTCTTCACAGCATGTGTCATTAGAAGAACCCCCATAAAGAACCATGAGATCTTTTTCAGGCCCCTATAAAAACACAAATGTTGGTTGACTATATGCTGGTAAGGTATAATATTTTGGTGGTCTTTTATGAACACTTCTACAGTAAAACAACAAGTCAACTGATCTTTGAAGGCAAACCTTTTTTTTGGATATCATAAAAATGTGCCGGATTTAGTTAAATCCCTGGGCATAAAAAAATTATATATATATATATAAATATATATATATATATATATATAAAAATATATAAACAGTCCTTTTCACGCAAGCAGAGCAAACAATACAAGGCAGCATTAAACTGTGCTTAATACACACTATATTGCCAAAAGTATTTGCTCGTCTGCCTTCACACGCTTATGAATTGAGTGACATCCCATTCTTAATCCATAGGGTTTAATATGGTGTCAGCCCACCCTTTGCAGCAATAACAGCTTCAGCTTCAGCTCCTCTTCTGGGAAAGCTTTCCACAAGGTTTAGAACTGTGTTTATGGGAATTTTTGACCATTCTTCCAGAAGAGCATTTGTGAGGTCAGACACTGATGTTGGACGAGAAGGCCTGGCTCGCAGTCTCCGCTCTAATTCATCCCAAATGTGTTCTATCGGGTTGAGGTCAGGCCTCTGTGCAGGCCAGTCAAGTTCTTCCACACCAAACTCGCTCATCCATGCCTTTATGGACCTTGCTTTGTACACTGATGCACAGTCATGTTGGAACAGGAAGGGGCCGTCCCCAAACTGTTCCCACAAAGTTGAGAGCATGAAATTGTCCAATCTCTCTTGGTCTGCTGAAGCATTAAGAGTTCCTTTCACTGGAACTAAGGGGCCGAGCCCAACTCCTGAAAAACACCATAATTCCCGCCTCCACCAAACTTGGCACAATGCAGTCAGACAAGTATCGTTCTCCTGGCAACCGCCAAACCCAGACTCATCCATCGGATTGCCAGACGGAGAAGCGTGATTCATCATTCCAGAGAACACGTCTCCACTACTGAGTCCAGTGGCGGCTCTCTACACCACTGCATTCAACGCTTTGCATTGCGCTTGGCGATGTAAGACTTGGATGCAGCTGCTCGGACATGGAAACCCATTGCATGAAGCTCTCTATGCACTGTTCTTGAGCTAATCTGAAGGCCACATGACGTTTGGAGGTCTGTGCAACTGACTCTGCAGAAAGTTGGCGACCTCTGCGCACTTTGCGCCTCAGAATCCGCTGACCCCGCTCTGTCATTTTACGTGGCCTACCACTTTGTGGCTGAGTTGCTGTCGTTCCCAGTCGCTTCCACTTTGTTATAATACCACTGACAGTTGACTATGGAATATTTAGTAGTGAGGAAATTTCACGACTGGACTTGTTGTACAGGTGGCATCCTATCACAGTACCACGCTGGAGTTCACTGAGCTCCTGAGAGCGACCCATTCTTTCACAAATGTTTGTAGAAGCAGTCTGCATGCTTAGGTGCTTGGTTTTATACACCTGTGGCCATGGAAGTGATTGGAACACCTGAATTCAATGATTTGGATGGGTGAGTGAATACTTTTGGCAATATAATGTAGATGCCTTTGAACTTTGGTGTTGGCGAAATTATTTTAAGAGTTCTTTGGATGGCAAAGAAAACAAAGCCTTGCCTTGAAATCTTATTTTGAACATATTCTGAGAAGAACCAATTAATCAGAAAAGTCCATTATGCTTGGAAATGTTAAAGGTATAAAAGGAAAAGGACAACCAGCTAACAACATGGATGGATACAATCAGAGGAATCTCAAAAGGCCCATAAAACAAACTTCTCATGCACAACATACACAAACTGGTGTCAAATAGTAAGTATTAGCAATACATAGGGATTGATAAATGACCCTCTGAATTGGGGAGATTACCATCTTAATGTCAAGGTCTTGAATCCATGGGCCACCAGCACACAGAAGCCCATGCTAGGCACGTAAAGCACGCGTTCAGCCACCACGAAGCCCACAGGGAAGAACAGGTTGGATGCAGGAATGAATGGGAGGACGATCAGAGAGAGAGCCTGAGGAAGAGACACAAAGAACATGAAATACACCAGCCATTAGCTATTACTTCCAGCGTACTTGTGCTACTAGCTTTGAATTCTCATGGTTCTTATCCTGTGTGAAAATTAAACAGAACTTGGTCTGGCATGAAACATATTTTGAGGTCCTCACAGTCAGTAGACCTGTCTCAGGTCCGTCGATCACTATGGAAAATGGCAGCTATAAAACACATGGGAAACAGGAACTGGCTAATTTTATGAGAAACTTCATAAATAGTTCCTAGGCTTTTTTGAAGTACATTTAAACCGCCTACACAAAAGAAGCGTAGGAACACTTTTTTATGGGTAATTTGCTTAATAACGCAGAGTAACTGAGCTGAATCTCTCCCTGAGGGCATCCATCATTGTTAAATTTTTCATGTGCCAACATGATGTAGTTAGGGAAGTAATATAAAACACGTTACTGTACCAGAGTGAAAACTGCGTCACATACTGTACTTTCCTCAACACACATAAGGGGCCAGCAGAAACGGTATTCTCCTCTACAGACTTATGACAGGAAGTGGAAACACCAATCGCTCTTAAATCAAATCAGGGCTTAGCCAAAGTAGCCTTCTCAAGTGCAATGGGCCACAAAACAAAGCCCTAGTAGTGCACAGCAGTATACTAAAATGCTCTTATTGTTCAGGTTTAGACAGACTTGTGCCATTTTCCATGCTAATCACTCCTAAATTTGGTCAGTTTTACACAGCTTTGTCTGAAACCAGAACCATGAGAACAATTAATCTCAGGATAAACCCAAACAAACCAGATGGTCTTAAACAGAAGGATGAAAACGCAACTAAACGGCTAAGGTCAAATCCTTTTTCAGGTGAAAATCTGTTGGCAAATATACTGTGATTCATTTAACGGGAAACAGCGTTATTGCAGTTCTCTTCAAACACAATGTTTTTTTCAGAAACTGCACATTAATATAGCCATCTTGCACAATCAAAGCCGGGCCACTAGTCGTAATAGTAGGATTACAGCTTTCACTGATTGAAAGCGGCCTTTGACAACGTGATGAATCTCTGGTTTCTGCAATGCTGAATGCCACAAGGGCTACAGTTATCCACCCACAGCTCTCATTTGACACCTGACTTTGAAAAATGGCCCGTTTGGTTATGTGTGGTCACAGCGAACCTCACCTTTTACAAACAGCACAAACACTCTTCTTCACAAAATTTATGTTTTATAGAAAACAACCACAGACTGAGTATGGCATTTTTATGGATGCACTTGCAAAAGATCAATTATTCATCTCAGTTTATGCTGTCCTAAAAGCAAATTATAAAATTAGTTTTGGCAGCAGCTTCAGAAGACGTCAAAAATCAAAACTTCAGGCTCTGCTTGTTCAGGGTGGATTTAACAGATTCGAAAAAATACGACTTTAGGTATGAAAGAGGGCGACTTCATCTTCCTCCCAATTGTCCTTTGTCTGACAGGCCAAAATCAACCAGGATGAAAGACATAATTGTACTGGTAAAAGATAAAAGGTCTGCCTTTAAGAGTAAATCTCAAGCTGCTTGCTCTGTTGTTGGCACAACAAGAGCCACGCTCTGTGAAATTAACCAAACACTTAGAACTATATAATGTTTCCTGTTTGTGCAGAATGATTGTGGACGATCCTCACGCAGGCACTCACTATAACAACTAAGCTGGGCCAAAATAAATAGATCAATATCCTTATGCAACCTGTTCAGCGCACATTAACAGCAAAGGCCGAACTTTTGCGCCTCATCCGTTGATGATTTGTGGTCTCACAGTCTCAGAGGACAGCTCGTGCCAGCAGAGCGAAGAAGTTCACCAAACCCTGCAGACACCACAAGGGACGCACACTGAGATTTCTCTCTAACGTTGTCACACGATGAATGAAGAGAAAGCTGAACTCTTGCCTTATTTTCACCCAAACACATGGCTGACATGGGGGATTGGGAAGCAGTGACATCCTGAACTTTCGCAAACGTGGAAGTTGTCAAAGGCCAAACATATGTGGCCAGTAATGCTGGAGAGTCAGACTCTGGGAAGATAAAATCTTTTATGACAAAAAGGGGGAAGAAGGGGGAAAAACGACTAAGGTCCTTCATGGTTGTATGCAAGGCAGACAATGCGTTTGCTTACGTATCAGGAAACCTACACATCAAGACACCAGAAATCTATTATTCACTGTGTGATGAAGTGTTATCCTAAAGCTTTTTTAAAACTTACTCAGCCGAAGCCATTAACCTTTATGTCGGAAAAACTAAGAAAGCAAGTCTATAGCCCTTATGCAGCTAATAATCTTTACGATGCGGTCATGTGCAATTAGTCAAATTAAAAAAGAAAAAACAAGAAAAAAAAAATTATCTACACTAAAATGTTGCAAGATGTTAAACATGTTTAAAAGAATGTGAGATTACAAAAGAGTTTATACACTTGCATGCACTCTGGGAATGCTACTCTTTGTTCACATTCCGGAAACTTGTTATGGACAAAGTGGCTGCAGCTAGTTATTTCCGTATCACCTTAACTATGCCTGCTGGGGGGACAGCCCCACACCATGTAATTCACTGAACTTCCTCTTAAAGTTTGGAATATTACTAACAGCTGTCAAAAGAATATCACCTACTGCTTTATGTAACAACAGAATCATTAAAGAATTTCTTGTCAGAGCTAATTAGGGCAAATATGGCTATAAGATGCCATTAGAAGATTAGCAGTGGCTCTACTCTGAGGTCCTCTCGGATGACAGAGCTCCTCATCCTATCAAGTAGAGTGTATTCCCACTACCCTGCGAAGAAAGCTCATTTCTACCGCTTGTATTCGCGATCTCATTCTTTCGGTCATTACCCACAGCTCATGACCACAGGTGAGGGTCGGGATGTTGACCGACCGGTAAACAGAGAGCTTTGCCTTATGGCTCAGCTCCCTCCTCACCACTACAATAAAGCACAGTGACCGCATTGCTGCTGCCTGTCCCAGCCTGCGGTCGATCTCATGATCCCTCTTCCCATCAAGACCCCAAGATACTTAAACTTCTCCACCAATGTGTGTCATTTCTTGTAATTTCAACGTTTGTGAATGTATTATTATTTTTTGTTTTAATGAATCTCAATATTTTATAAAGCTACTGTGATCATAAAGCCAGATTAAGTTCAGCATCATGGTTTAGTAACAAAAAAAAAAACAAAAAAAAACAAAAAAAAAAAACAACATAAAAACCCCTAAAAAACAGAAAACGTGTACGACCCCGCATAGACGTGTAAAACCATGGCAACAGGTTCAGACATTCTAACCGCTGCATTTGTACACATCTGTAGTTCTTTACGGAGCTAATTTGGGTTTTCAAACTGTTTGAAACAAACACAAAACAAAGCTCCCAGCCTTACCATGACGACGGTTTTGGCAGAGCTGTGGCCGTGACGAAGGCTGTGATAGGCCAGGAGGCCGAGCAGCATGTAGAAAGCCAGAGTGGCCAGGTTTCGTGGGTCCAGCACAGACTCTACCAGCGGAATGGTGCCCATGGTCCAGTCACAGCACAGCTCAGAAGGGTTTAGCAGGAGCCAGCCATTCACAGGGAGTAGGTAGTTGAAGGTGAGCTGCCTGGCAGGTGTGGAACTGACAGCTGCTGGGTTATCAAACCTGGATGAAACATAACAGCTCGGATGAGCTCCTCTTTCTTACTGTAGTTGTAATCATATTTAGTGTAGCAATATATTGAATGGGCTTTCTGGTGCTCTGGTCCAGAGGGTGCACTTGGGTTGGGTCCCAAAAAGCTGGATTTGTAGGCTAGCAGTCCTAGCTTGATACACTGCTGCCTTAAATCAAGCCACAAGTTACTTTGGACACAGTTCAAGGCTACCTTAAACTGAGTCACTGAGTCCAGGTGTGTTATGCTGCTTCAGTAAACGCATTGGAGGTGTGGTGCTCTAGCTTTATACAAGAGGCCTCACAGGTTACAGTGAGGACAAAAGCTGTCTAAAGTGTGTGTGAACAAGAAGAAATAAAGTGGAGGGTTAATTTAGGGGCAAACAGTACTATAGACCTTTAAACAATCCAGTGATTGTTTTTAAATCTGGGTGAACATTCTTTTCTTTGGCTAAGAACAAAGTTTTAATCACTATAGAATCAAGGACTGGAGACTAATCTGATTTTGAATGTATGCTCTGAAAACAAAGTATAGGGTACATAGTGTAGGCTAATCCTGGAATAGACTGGTGTGAGGTATACTCGGAGTTAATGTGGGTGGGCAGAGTGTGGAGCAAGCACAGGAACCACCAGAGACTAGAACAGCTGGATTAACTTCAAAACAAAATAAACATGACCGACACATGATCAAGAAAGAAAGAAGTGAGGCGCTGGTGCCCCAAAATCCCAAATTACCCCTTAAGCATTTAAGGGCAATTTGAGAGAATGTGTAAACTCTCTCTTTTTTCTTAATCACGAAGACGTGCACGGCCTGTGTACATGCATGTGCTACACTCCTAAAAGGGAACATGTGCCACACTCATGCAGTCTTATTTGAGCAGCTTTGAGAACATGACATTAATTTTAGTCAAGGTTCAATATTTCCACTATTTGAAACAGATACATATTGAAGTCTATCATATGGATTTTGCAGTGGGGCTCTTTTCCAATGTATTAGGTAAGGGAAAAAACATAGCCCAAAATACTAAGAATTTGACTGGAAAAAAAGAAAACTACAAAAAAACACTACAAACACAATCCTTTATTTGAGAAATGCGGCTGTGTTTTGGCTAGGCAACTTCTGCTATATCAAAATCTTCCGTAATACAACCTCGGGACAAAATAAACTGAAAAGCGTGTATTATCCAATATATTGTCTCCAGAGGTTTGAGTGATAAGACTCCTTCTGTCACACACTTGGAGACAGTCTGTGGATTATGTCTGAAGGATTAGAGATCGCATCCTTGACAAATCTTGAGGATGTCTCTTTACTGATCCCAATCAACATCAGCAGTGTGTGATCATGGAACAAAAGTATGGCGGAGGATACAGGATTCGCATTTTGCTCCCGGCTTTACGATGTGGCCAGTATCACCAGACATCTGTTTAGCAGACGGCTGTGAGAGATGGTATGAGGAAAAACATCTGAACCAATCCTGGTGTTCCTTTCAAGTGCCACTGCTTAGGGTGATAGACAGATAGACTGATGCACTCATATCTCACAGGATCAGTTTCAGTAAAGGAGATAGATACTGGTGTCAAGATCATATTTCATCAGGAATTATGCATGTCTTTAAGTACTATGATAACAAATATGAAAAGCATCTGTGTATTGGTCACTTATCCACAAAGATCACGCTTTGGTTTTGGAAACAATTGCTCTGAATTTCACAATAACTACAGGTTTAACAGTTTAGATACAGTATTGAAAAACATAAAAATAAACATTCAACATGTTTATCGACAGTTAAAACTCTCACCAATACACAGGTTGGTCTCTCTTTTGCCGTCTATATTGTTTATAGAACACTGTCAATCTATAGATCACTGTTTTGCACAAGGACATTCTATTTTGCAATGTTTAGTTTTGTTCAGTCATTAAAAGTGGACACTCTCAGCTCACCTGGTGAAGACAGGCAGCTGGGACTGAATGACCTGCACTCGGACAATGACCAGAAGCAACGTGCTGATGACCAGCACCACCAGCTTCAGCAGGGTCTGCAACACGGCGTAGGGGAAGCTGTCCTTTCCTCGTACCACCTGCACCACTGTGTCGATCAGCATAGGCAGCGTGAACTGTGTTCAGACAGACAGAAGGACAGGTTACATATTGTCAGGATCTAACCCTCAAACCCCAGTGACGATGCCAGTGTCTACACTGAGCAGGTTTTATGATCACCTATGCTGAGTTTTATGATCATTACTCAAAGATGCTCATATTTCATAGAGAGATTTGGAAAAATCATTTATGATTCTTGTACAAGCAGCAAATGGTCTCTCTTATGCTCATGGCTATCACTGCTCACAGCAAAACTAGGGTACACTGGAATATTTATATTCAAACACACATTGCTTCTCTGTTTGGCACTTATTTGGCTGAGCCTGTGAAATCTTGCATTTCACTTCATTATAGTCTCATCACTTGCCAATGAGAACGACACTGGAGAACAGCATTATTTTCAGATGTATCAGACTGTGGTTGTATCAATATGGGTAAATTTACTTTTACATAGCGTGTGTGTGAGTGAAACAGATACTTAGAGTGTGACATTTTATAGCATCCAGCACATACAATTAGAGTTTAGTCCTTTATTTGTTATTATGTGTATAAAAAGCTGGAGAAAAAAAAATCTCATGTTTGGTCCAGTTCAGTTTCATCCAGGTCCTTTCTGCGCATTGAATGTTCAAGTCAATTCATTTAAATTATCCTCGGATGTACTTAAAGTGCATAGCCTTTATTAACTGTCTTTAAGGTGTGTATGATCGCTGTTAATTAATTACCTAAGTTGGTTTCACTTTCACAGCTCAGTTAATGGTTGTAGTGAGTTATTAGTTTGTAGCTGCTTGTGTTTGTATAGCTGCTTTGTGTAATAACTAAACAGATGACGTTAGTGCGCAGTATATGATCTGTAGCATGTGTTGGTAAACATTTTTTTGTACGCTGTTAATTTTATAGCCGCAGACTCTTTTGCACATGCATATGTGATGAAATACTAACTACCTCCTCCACGCTGCCACCTTTGTGATTAAAAGTTCACTCCTCTGCCAGCCTGTGCATCTCAAGAGCTCATCATCTCTATAATAATATTCATATATTCCTCATTCTTGTTTTTTTTGTACTGTACTTACACATTTTAGGTAAACATTACAACAAAAAAATCATTCTACTCAACCTTATTTAACTATTCATTATTACTGTAGTTTTTGGGACAAATTCAAAATATCTGGCGTTTTTGTAATTGTATCATATTGGATTGTGACTTTGTACTGGCTTGTATCGTGACATGTATCATATCATGAAGTTGCTGACAGTACCCAGCCCTAGCAGACTGCAGCAAAAGGAACGCAGCATCTGACCAGATTCAAGTGATCATATTGTACCAAGGCCCCCATTTACACCTGGAATTAACTTACGTCTTGGGTGGTCCTATCAAAAGTGGACAGTGCTGAGTACAGGTGTGAACAGGGTCCAATTTGAATTGTGATCCAACCACTCAAACCACTTTCAGAAGTGGTCAGGAGTGCATATGACCACAACCGCATCATTGCAGCAGCATGTTTTCTTTCTTCTCTCACGTTAGTTTTTACATTGTATGTACATTTACACAAACAAGGCCTTGCAATCTTGCAGCACATACAGCGAGAGTCTGATGTTGTAAATTTGTGCAGTCAGGAAATTAGATCATAAGTGGGCACTGGAGACGTTTCTGAGGCACATAGAAATGTCTGGAAATGTCAATATGTCTCACTGTCCACTTGTGTTCAGATCACTACAGATGGAAGTTAATACCAGGTATAAACAGGGCCTAAAATGGCAGAAACTATGCTCTGTTTGTTGTTTACAGAGAGAGAGAGAGAGAGAGAGAGACAGAGGAGAGAGAGAGAGAGATACATAAAAAATACACTGTTAGACCAGTAAAACCTGGCTGTATGTAAATGTTTCACTCCCAATACATCTGATGCACAATCAACAGTCACGTTCTAGATGCAACCCACTTTATAACATAACAGGGTTGAACTGAGAGCAGAGCCATTAAAAGTGGAGTAAATATGGCACTTTTAAGGTAAAGGCCTCAGCGTCTGAAGGGCCTGCAAGGCCCCACAGCTGCCTACTCTCACTCCCTTCAGTAGCCAGTTCACATAAGAGGATTATGACAGAGTCCATTATGTAAAATGCAGTCTAATTACATAATTGAAAGGGCACGATGGGCTGCCAAAAGAGCACAAGGCCCCAGTGTAGAGACAAACTCTAATGCACCACGATGAATAGCTTCAACAAGCACTTTGGTTTTTCAGTGTGAGAGCATGCATTGTCAAGTGGCTTTACGCATCCAATTACTGATGGTAATGAGGAAGAGCCAAAATGCTAAGGCACCATTAGAGGGGACAAAGACAACATTTGCAATAACAAATAACAGATTTCAGCATCTAATAAAGAAGTGTGACCTCTTTAGTGCTATGATCTAAGGATAAGTGATTTACAGCATTGGGTTATTTTCTTTTGCAACAACCGTGGCAGCAAGTGATGACTGACGCTAGCCTGAGGATAACTAAGCAGCTGTGACATTCTGCAGCACTTTTGCTCTACATCACAAACAGACCTCCTAGACTTAATGGTTTCAAGTAAACTGCGCAGGTTTAACTATCAGGAAGCGCTGGATAGAAAATAGCATCCTTCATTAATAACATAGAATTACACCTTTATATAGTGTTGCTTTAAGTTAACTATACACCATCAGTTTAGACACTTGAGAGACTTTACAACGCTAATTAACAAGGCTAATTATTCGACTAAGCGCAGCAAGAGGGAATGGTCTTACCCCTTGGGCGACAAACACTTCATACACGCAGCATATTCCAATCACAGTGATGCCCTGCTCCTTGCAGAGTGTGGCAACAGCTACAAGGAACACGGTCAAAACGATGGGTGTCCACACTGAAAGAAACACAAGTGCTGTTGGTTAGATTTTAACTAAACAGAATGCTATTATTGTTTATCTGACTTGAGACATTTATAAATGCATGAATACACACACTTGTATCAGCCCGATACTGTGCTCATTTACTTGTACTCGCAAAATGGCAACATTTGATACCAAGTGATGCAAGTGATGCAAGCATAGTGTATGCTGCCGCGCTAAAGAACAAACTCAAGCTGGCAGTGAACGAGAGTCTTCTCGCATCGAGAAGTGTTGCTAATGCTGAGGCGGTCAGACACAAACTTTGTTGGTCACTTTAAACATCCTTCCTTGGTATATCTATGTCAGGCATACACTGTGCGATTTTAGCCCTTCTTTACACACACAATCACAATCACTTCCCCAATGGGGAACACACGTAGACTAGCAAAATGGAGGTGAAAAAGTCAACATTTACAGAACCAAAGCCTGTACATGCCGACTTTGTAAAATAGGCTGTTGGAAGATGTATCGTCCTACAGTGTACATCACTGCCTGGTTTTAGTTTCAGTGCACAGTGTGGTATAAGTTAGCAAAACTTAGCTCTCAGCAGTAGCTCTCTAGTTTCTCAGCATTTTTCAGCGTATCTGCTCGGTACTCGGACGCACAACCATGTTAGGCCAGAAACATACTTCACGCAGAAACGTGAACACAGACACTTCGAGCTACGCAGACACATTTACATGAGTCGCCGCATTCTAAAAAGTGTCACGCAATTTATAACACAATGCAAGCATATGCTCAGAATACAGCTCTACAGCCAGGGGTGCTATAGGGCTTGGGAATGTGATGTCATAACTCAGTGTTTTGGAGGTGATCTGCCATTGTGGCAGGGAATACACTGTTTTCTAACTGCTTTCCTTGACTTTGGCTGATCCATAGCTTATGGTCTAACTAAATTCATTGGCAGAGATGACAAGCATGTGGATAAACACGAATACCAAATCATAGATCAAATTCAAGGAAAACGCATCAGAAAAGAAGTTTTATTCAGCTATTCACACGCAACATAATTTAGTGGGTTTATCACCTTTGCACTACGCTTCCTTACTCTTTACGAAAGCCTAATGCGGGGGCAGAATGTAACTGCTACATCTTTTTAAGGTGGAACAGGTAATTGGAATAAGATGCTGGCATATAAGAAGCAAATCTCAGCGTTGTGGTAAGGTATGCAGTGATCTTATCCCTACTGACAATGTGTTTGCAATGCCTACATTGAGTACATTTCAGACATTTTGAACAAAACGGCTTTATTAATAATTATCCGTTGTAGGTTTTATCCATACATGATGGTCTATTCAAACGTACAGTGCAATTCACCAAAGAACAAGATTTCTTAAATCACACAGTGTATGTCTGGCTTTAGAGGACCTTCAGCTACAGCTCAACCAGTCAAAATGACGCCATGAAGACATAAAACTCAAAATGTGAGCTCCTCGGATGTGATTCCTGTTGTCACTGTGTTACGGAGACTGGTGAAAGAGACAGATGGGGATCAAAACTATGAAACGTACTTTATTTACATCTGTACAAAAGCATTTTTCTGATGTGGAACAAAACCTGCGGTTCTCCAATGCAACTGTACTCGATTCACGGTAGTTAATGTAACAGCTAGCTAATGCACATCATTTGAAATCAGCTAGATTTTAAGGATTTAATAGTTAAGGTACATTGCACTCATTTGTAGTTGGTATGGTGTAGTGGATAACACCTCTGCCTTCTATGCTGTAGACTGGGGTTCAATCCCCCTGCCTGGGCAAGCACCCTACACTATACCAGCAAGAGTCCTTGGGCAAGACTCCTAACACTACCTTCAACGACCTGTGTAAATTGATCAAATAGTAAGTCGCTCTTGATAAGAGCGTCTGCCAAATACCGTAAATGTAAATTTACACCAACATTTACTTCCAAGTAGGTTAGTCAGTATGTATTATTATCAGTATCAACAAGTACTAAGAAACATACTCATACTTAATCTTAAAAAATGCCTTGCTAATACATGCTAAAGCATACATTTCTGTAAAACAGTCCATCCTTTTGATTGGCAGTTCCAGGTTTTTCCACATTTCTCATGGCATTCGGGCAAAACTGCTCAAACTTGGTTGGATGCAGCATCTTCTCTGATTTTTTATCTTAGAATAATCACGATTTATCTTGCAGGTGTTTCTGATATTCATTAATCAAGACTTTTTTTTTTTAATTTTTAAAAAAAAAACACTGAATTTTAGTTCTGAGAAACATCACAAACATGTTTACCTTGGTAAACTTCTATGAGGGAATCATTCTGAACGTTGACATTTCATGCAAAGAGGAAGCATAATCTTTTTATCTGACACACAAGCGATGAGTGAAAAAGTATTTGGAACTGCCAGATGCCTTTCAAAGGACGATGAAAAGATTGACTGCATTCTCACAGATTTTGAAATGAAACAACCAACCAGATGTGCCCAAGTTGTCAGATCAAGCATTACAACAAGTTTATTTGTTAAAACTTCCTGGTTGTAACACATCAACTTATCAAAGGGCACCGTCTTCCAGAAGAGACCCAGTTCTTTTGTTTCAGTGAGCGTATATTTGTCTTTTTACAGGTTTTCCAAATGCTTTCTACCAGTTACAGAAAAATGAGACATGGGATTTGTGGGGCTTCAGCTTCTACAAAGGAAGATGAGTTCATTTTCATTATGAGTCAAAGGCACAAGTGTATGCGGTTGCTAGACAGTGAGTGAAAGTCAGCTTCAGCTCAATTATCTCTCAATTATTTAATCATCTAATGAAAACTCCCTATATTAAAGTAATATGACCGAAAGATTTAAGATCTTATGATTTTAATGCTTGAGTCTTGTATAATATCAGTGGCTTGTTTTAAACATACCACATCACACCAACTGCACAAATGTCTGCGAATGTAACATTTAAGACAGCATTAGATGTGCTCATTGTGCCAGAGGGCAAGAGGTTGTTACGATCTATTAACAGCAGTTAAAGTAACTGTACTCATAAGCTTCTTGGTATGTCAGCACATAAGGCTTAATATACAGTAGCTACGCTGCCAGTCAAAAGTTTGGAAACACCTAACTGAAATATGCATTTTCATAATCTTAGACATTTTGACCTAAAGGCTTATACTTAAATGAAAATTTTTTTTTCTACAACAAATAGTGTAGTTGATGTACAGTACTTTGCAAATGTCAGAGAACACCCTTCACTCATTTAATTTCCTCTGAAAACTGCCATTCATTTTTCAGCATCAAGAAAAAAGCAGAAAAAAAATCATATTTATAATAATTTCATATTTAACAGAAAATACGAGTAATAAACTTGCACTACATGGACAAAAGTATTTGGACACACCTCTTAATCATTGAATTCAGGTGTTTTCAGTCCCACCTGTCACAGGTGTACAAAATCAAGCACCTAGACATGCAGTCTGCCTTTATAAACATTTGTGAAAGAATGGGTCGTTCTAAAGAGCTCACTGAATTTGAGTGTGGTACTGTAATAGGATGCCACCGCTGCAACAAGTCAGTTCATGAAATTTCTTCCCTCCTAGATGTTACATGATCAACTGTGAGTGGTATTATTGAAAAGTTGAAGTGTTTAAGAAGCACAGCAACTCAGCCACGAATCATCAGACCATTCAAAGTGACAAATCAGGCTTCTCTATCTGGCAGTCTGATGGACGAGTCTGGGTTTGGCGAATGCCAGGAGAACATTACCTGCCTGACTGAACTGTTCCAAACTGTAAAGTTTGGTGGAGGAGGGATAATGCTATCGAGTTTTTTGTAGGGGTTGGCCTAGAACCCTTAGTTCCAGTGAAGGGAAATCTTACTGCTTCAGCAGAACAAGACATTTTGGACAATTCTATGCTACCAACTTTGTAGGAACAGTTTGGGGAAGAACCTTTTCTGTTCCAGCATGACTGAGCCAAAGCAAAGTCCATAAAGGCCTGGCTGGGTGAGTTTGGTGTGGAAGAACTTGACTGGCCCCCACAGAGCCCTGACGTCAACCCTATCGAACACCTTTGGGATGAATTAGAGCGGAGACTGCGAGCCAGGCCTTGTTGTCCAACATCAGTATCTGACCTTACAAATGCTCTTTGGACAAAACTTCCCACAGACACACTGCAAAATCTCAGTCCATTGTTCTGAGAACTACAGCAGCTTCTTTGTTTAACTGCAAATGTTCTTTGTTTTCACCTATTTCGTTCTCTCAGTTTCTCTCAACGGCTTCTTGACAGCCTCACATCCTTTTACAGCCATAGCGCTGAGTTGTCTTCTCACAGTGGAAGGATGGGCAGAAACACCTGTGGATTGTTTCAGATCTGAAGCAAGAGTGGAGCTTGACCTTCTGTGATCTCTCAAAGAGAAAAGCTTTAAGTGCTGTTTATCTGACAGTAACAGTTTTTGGTGGTTTACCAGACCTTGTACGGTTGTTAAGATTCCCTTTTCTCACTAACTTTTAGTCATTTTCTGAACTCCAGTTTTTTTCACCTTGGGCTTTCCCTGCCCTCCCCTCAGAAATATCACCTGAAAAATGAATGACCTCTACTTAATGTCTGTTTTGACAGAAAATTAAATACATTAAGGTGCTCTCCGACTTTCGCACAGTACTGTATGGAATTATTTCCAAAAGAAAATTTTAAATTTAAATTCAAACAATGAAAAAATATAATTATTGTTATTGCCCCCCAGCAAAAGGTTGGGGATATGGCATATGTATATCCTCCAAAGTCCTGTTAGAAAACCACCCCAGGTCCTAATGAAGCTGCATGAGAGAACAGTAAAAGTGTGCAATGCTGCATTATTTCAAAAAGAATCTAAAATTAACATTTTTTTTGTTTCTAAATTGTGGAAAATAGTAAAAATAAGTAAAGCCTTATATGGGAAGGTGTGTGTGTATGGGAAGGTAACTTTTGGCTACTAGTGTATATAGAAAACAATACAAAAAGTATGCATTATTATTACACTGAGAATGAGTTATTAAGTTATTAGGCATGAGGAATGGCAGTATGAACAAGTGTGTGAAGGTAAGGAATTAAAACAACCTAGTGATGGGGGCTGGATGCAGGCTGCATCCTGTCAATGGAATCTAAATCACAATGGTGCCACAGCCATCCATGGCCGGGAGTCCAGCTGAGCACAACTTGACCTTGCTTTCTGGTTGGATGGTTTAGTTTCGTTTCCCGTCAATCCACAGTGGTGCTGCCAGCTCACGTACACACAATTAGCCAACCATCTGCCCTAAGTAGCGTGAGCTGCAGTTATGGGAAAAAAAAAAAACATTGCACGTTCCTGAACATGCACATGTTCTTAATGGTGCAAGCAAAGAGCACCTAACCAGTTTATCATTTATCTCATATATCTCTGCCATGCGCAGGGGATGTCATTCATAACACATGCAAGGCTTGTCACTTGATCTCAGGTCGAGAAATGTACTTCCTTCTTCCAAAGAAAATGGCTGGAATGATCTTACTGTAGATGTTCTTGGTCAAAGGCAGCGTAATCATCGACGTGATAGAGTACTGAGTCAAAACAACACGCTACTTTGATAGATGTGAACAGACTGAAGTTTGTGTTCTTAAAGGCTGTGGGTGGGGAGTAGTTTAGGCTTAAGTGCTAAGAACAAGTCCTAGCGTGTGCAGGGTGTCCTAATGGTGAACCTGTTCCAGCAAGCACGCACAGCTTTGTGACACTGAAAAGGCTAAAAACGACAATTCTTACCAATGGATTGATCTGTGCCTTTCGACTTGGTGTAGGTCAGAAAAGCTGCCAACAGGAAGATTGAGGACAGCAGTTCGGCTCTTCCCACGACGCCTGTGACCTAACAGAGAAAGAAACAGAACTGGGATGTGTTGGACGCTTATGAGAAAAATTGACTCTGCAGGTATTTTAACTGCAGATTGAATACATGTCAGGAATGTTGCACTGGACAACAATTTGGTCAACTCTTAAATCCATGTTGCGGAATTAGAGTGACACACATAGCGATAAGATCAGCACGTAATACAACTCTTGATTTATGACCCGGAGTAACACCAACTGTCAGCAATGCAAAGTAGGCAGTGTGGTTTGCCAGTAGTGCATGGAATGTGCCAGACATGTAAGGGTTATGGAGGTTACTGAGTGCAAATTATTTTTCCCCTAAACACTGAATATGAACTGAAAGAATTCAAGAATGATTTTTCTGCAACAGTTACTGAGAACTATTGTCCCTGGGACTACAAGAGAAGCAGACGTTGCTCAGTTTTGAATTTGTGTAAAATATTCCTTTTATCCAGGTAATGTATTTTTTTGCTTTGCACTGTTTCATTCAAAGCATTCATACAATTAATAAAAGCTGTGAAAACCAGTTATATTGCTTATCATTACATAATAACATAAGCAGTTATTATTGCTTGTGTTAGAAATTCACCAGGAAGAGTCAGGAGGCACAGCTTGGCCATCAGTCTGTGACCTGTTCAATAAATACAATAGTCTGACGTGGTTTAAGAAGAGATACTGGGAATCAGGGGGAGGAAGCAAAGAGGGTGGGGAAGCAGATGAAGTGGATCTGGGGTCAGGGGGGGAGTGAAGATGTTCTCACCTCAGGAGCAACAACACAGATAAAACATCAAAATGACACACAACTGTAAGACAATACAGCTGACAAAACATATTTTGGAGCACAGAAGGAAGCATATTTGAAAGGACATATACTTTTTCTCACTTTACAATTTTCATCAGAAAGAGGAAAATTATGTAAAATGTAATGAGAATAAATGAAGATATACAGTACTGTGCAAAAGTCACCCTTCATTTATCCAAAAACAACTATTAAGTACAAGATATTCATTTTTCAACCTCACAAAAAAGACAGACAGACAACATTTAACAGAATATATAAATAATAAATATATTTTTCAGTATTTAGTATTGCCTTTATTACCGCTTCCATTCTTTTCAGGGGACTTGCTTTTAGTTTCTCAAAGAAATCTGCAGGAAATTTTCCACACCTCTAAAGTTCAGAAGTTGGTCACATTTTCTGCTTCTCACAATCCAAGTAATATCAAACACATCCAGTGGTGTTGAGTGCTGGACTCTGGGGTGGTCAGTCTATTGTTCTGGGAACACCAGCAGCTTCTTTGTTTGATTTCTTCTGTCTATATTGTTTTCTCAGTAAGGGCTTCTTGACAGCTGCACATCCTTTCAGTCTCATAGTGCTGAGTTGTCTTCTCACAGTGGAAGGATGGACAGAAAACCTGTGGATATGTTCAGATCTGAAACAAGAGTGGAGCTTCATTTTCTCCTCTCTGTTATAGGAGAAAGCTTTATTGTTCCTCAGACGGGGACAGTTTTGATGGTCTGCCAGGTCTTGGGTGGATGTAGCGAGTCCCATTTTCTTTGTAGATTTTAATACCTTTTTTGAACTCCAGTTTCGGAAATTCCTGTTTTTCCACCTTTCCTTTACTTACGAAAGCGGATTATCGTATATATCTAATTTCGTCAGAAATATCTCCAGAAAAATAATGAATTATGCTGTTATTAACTGTTTTAATTGGAAATTTAATAAATTAATGTTGGTCTCTTACTTTTGCACAGTAGTGTGAATGAGACGAAATAAGTAAGCAGACCTGAACATTTCACGTTTACAGAATCTGAAGAGCATTTCAGCCACTGGTCCATTCACTGCTTATGAGACCAAAACAACAAACTATCCATTACTGCCACCACATGGAGGTGTCTGCAATGGCAGTTTAAACAAAAGGGGCCAGTCATCTGAAGAAATAGTCTGAACACACACATGTCCCCTCCATCCAATAACTAAATAAAACCATCAGTTACAATGAGAATAATGATGAGGCTCATTTCCCCAAAGTCAAATTTATTACAGAGTAAACTGTCTACATCTCACAGGAAGGCATGCTTCCAAGCATGCACACACACCACCACGCTCACTCACACAAATAAACATGAAGAGGAAGTCCTGAACAGAACAGTCTGTTGTCTGTATTATTTCATGAAAGGCATCATCATGCACAAGTCCAGATTCATTTATGGGGAGACAATCCAGACGCCACCGTCCTTGGGCTAAATCTCTGCTGCTAAAGCCTGTTTTGTGCAGAGATGGAATGAATACCAACCAACTGACACATAACAAATCACAGGCCTGCCTTCCTCTGAGCCCTCGTTTCAGCATCTCAGCCAAAAAAATTCCCTGGCAAATATAGCTCAGCCCTTTGCCACCCAGTAAGGTCAAGTGGTCACTAAAACAACACAGTGTCTTTCTTTCTGATGCTGTAGGGTATCTTTGAGGTCTGTGAAAGTTAAATTCCAGTTCAGTTAAATTAATGTACACACTGGCCAAGCAAAAAAATGGAAATGCAAAACAACATATGATTATATTAGATAATGAGCTGTGTGGGCTTCCTAAAAGTACCTTAGATTTCAGACACGGTGTAACGGTAATTTATAATCAATGTGAATTTAACCTAAAATATGGTGTGCTGCGAGCTACCAAAGTCTGAAATAAATCTTTAAAAAGTCGGAAGGTATTAGGTCAAATTTCATGTGAGGTCAGATATCAACACTGCACAAAAAGAAGATTGGCTTGAATGCAAAATCAACAATACTCTGAAGCAGATATGACAGCAACACTAAGCTTGAACTCAGTTCTCTGTGAACACTCTGTCAACGCCCTGGCAATCATCAGATTCATCCGCTCAGTGAACAAGTCCTAAGCACAACCCATGTTACAAAACGTTCTTCCACACATTGTGTGCAATTACACTTTTCCACCAGGGAGGTTTTCTCTTGATGACAGGTGGGGGGAGGAAAGGGGAGGCAAAACATGATATTATTGGTTAATATTATTGTTTAGTCACATGCTGGTGCACTGTGATGTAATCAAAACTGAGAATGCATTTTAGAGATGGGCAAAAGTCACTACACTTTTTCCTCAGAATCTTCTAGAAATCAAAAATTCTGTCTTTTAAATTTGGCATGATATAAAGAATTTTGCTTAATATGACCAAAAACATTTTGATTTAAGGTTAACTTTTTTTTTTCCAATGAGGAATCTCCAGTGGTAAAGTATGTTAGATCAAGAAGACTCTGTGTGCAGAAACCTAGTCCATAAACTCAGCGACTTTAGCAACTTAATATAATCTTAGTACTGTGATGTTTTTGGGAAGTGAGACCTGTTATACCACTGATGATGATTTTACATAATTTTGATTTTTAACATATTTAGCAATTTGTAACTATTGTGTCAGTAATTATGATTCTACTTAATGTCTTTCAAAACCTTTTCCACGTCTAATGTCGCTTTATAAACTCAGCTGTCTTTCAAAGCAGGCATCTGTTGATAATATCTATTATTTCTGAAGTCTCAATCACAAAGTGTTGCATACACCATCGATTTTTTGTATAGTAACACACTGATGTGTTACTTTAGTGTTACCATGTTCAGCCTTTGTAAATTCACTGCTAACCTGAGGTCGCTGTAGTTGCTGTGTGGCCTGAATGGAGTAACTGAAAAACTCATGGGGTTATTCCGCTTCTTAAGCTATTTTTAGCCCAATTTTAACCCCATTTTATCCATTTTAACCAATTTTCACAATCGAACGCAAATTTCCAGGTCAGAAACTTGATGAGAAGTAAGTGGTGACATGAACAATCTGGTAGTTTGAGAGTGGAAACAAGTCAACCTTTAGCCTTCCCGAACAAGCTCCAAAGTGACCGGTGATGTCTGATTTTTACAGATCAAGACGTTCATGAATCCGAATGGTGTCAGCTGGCCAACTATATAACCAAATGTGTGATTCAGGCAGTAACCAATGAGAGAGTCTGCAGAGAGAAATCCATCTCGAAGAGCCTTCATTACAATGGAACTCATTTTTGATGCGTTGTTTTCAATATTTTGCTCGCCCCATTCATATTAGGGTTGTGCATTCCGACTAATTTTGATACGAGATTATGAGCAGATGATCAGTTAACTTTGGGTAAGGACAAAAATGGACTTTGAAATCTGTTGGTTTTTGTGTTGGATGAGTAACATAATAGGGGCTGCCTCAGCCAACTTAATGAGGTAAAACTACAGCTAACTGGTAACACTGGATGTTGATGAGGACTCATTTTCTACAGGTGGTCATTTCTCCTCAGTGCACGATGTGGCAGCATATTAGTTTGCCAGAGACATTCATTTCCACTCTTTCTGGACACAGCTAACATGCGTTAGAAATAAACCTGTGCTATTTCTGCCTTTTTAGACATGTGTGTCTTAATGTGCCCACATTAAGGCACATATTTCAGAGCAGCAAAGTATTGCTATTAGAATATACAGACTTCCTCACAAATACAAGTAAATTTGCCATATTTTACAGTCCTGTATAAATCTAAACTAAAATTTGAATTTCACTAAATTGTTAGCCTGTATAATCTTCTTCCTGTGATGAAATGTAACAAACAAACAAACAGTGATTTCAGTGTTCAAATCTCAAACGCTTAACCTACAGCTTGAGTACCCAAGCACATCCCTAAATTATATATGCATTTATTTATGTAGACTACCAACTTTCCATTGATGGAGAAAATGTGGAAAGGTTAACAGCTTTTGTCTACTCGGATCAGTTATTAACAACAGAGGATCCATCACAGACTGACAAAGATCAGAACTGTCCAGGCTGTGGTCTTCTCTGTGGTTCTTTATGGATGTGAAAGCTGGATAATAAACAAGAAAGGCAGCAAAACTATAAATGCTTTTGAACTTTGGTGTTGGTGAAGACTTTTGAGAGTTTCCTGGATGGCAAAGAAAACAAACAAATGGATCTTTGAACAAATTAAGCTGCATCTCTCACTTAAAGCCCAGACATCTGAACTGAAATCTTACTCTGGACATAATCTGAGAAGAACCGATTAATTGGAAAAGACTGTTATGTTTGAAAGAATTGGAGGCAAAAGAGGAAAAGGACGACCAGCGACACGATGGATGGATACAATCAGAAGAATCATGAACCAGCCATTCAGAAGCCTGAACACCCAAACAGATGTCAGGATATTCTGGAGGAACACTATCCATATGGTCACCATGTGTCGGAAACAATTTGATGGCACTTAACAACTTAATAATCATAACTAGGGCTACACAGAAAGGATTCCATATGGTTAGTCTTAAGGAAATTATTCAGTACATCAGGAAAACTCAAATTTCACCAAGATTTCATCTGAAGTGAAAGTGGTTTTGTAATGATTCAAGGACTTTTTTAAAAATATACCAAATAAACAAATGGGACTGGAGGAACTATCTATAAAGCACTGCGACAGACAATAAAAACACTAAGTTATCTTGTCTACTTGGGTTTGAAAATGGCCTGAGAATTTACAACATCAATGCAGTTGATTCAGCACCTTCCAGAGGTGCATCTGTACACCCCTAATATGTACCGTCTGCATGCGTAAACTCATATGAATATGGGTTTCAGAGGCTAGAAACTGCACTATTGTGCGTTTTACTCACAGCCTCTGTGTGGATGGGGTGGACAGCAAACAGCAGTGCGGCCACCACACTGGTCGTGCGGTCCAGGAGCAGTCGGCAGAAGCGCAGGAAGAGGATGCAAACGGCTGCATGGAGAAGCACGTTCAGCAGGTGGTAGGACGCAGGGTTCAACTCGCTCAGCAGGTAGTTGAGGCGGAAGGTGAGGACAGTGAGCGGTCTGTAAGATTTATGGCTCCTCTCCTGCACAGAAAGAGAGTGGTTTCAGGTAGACACATCCTTGCCAAGATTGCACAACCCTGCCCTCCCCAACCCTGCAACAAATCTTCAACATTAACTGAGAGCCAATGTTAGATTAGTACTGGAGGAGGACTGATAATCAGGAATAGAATGAGCACACCCTACATGATCAGTCAGCAAGCAGATTCTCATATTTTAGATGATAGATCATCTATACCAAGGGTGCACAAACTTTTGTCTGCAGTGTTTGTGGTGGACTAATGGCCCAAAAAGACAAAACAGCATACAAATGAAGAAGATAGCTAGGTTTCAAATCAAGAGTTTACAAACATATAAGATACACTACACTTTGTTACTTATAATAATAGTGCAATTGAATTTCAAAGGGAAAATAAGTTACATATAGGATAAATACTCTCCATGGGTGAGGAGGCGGGGTTAGGTTACCCTTCTGTTAGGCCAAATCAAATGTCCTCAGTGGCCAAATTTAGCCCGCAGGCCAATACTGACAAACCATAATATTGCTTTTCAATTATCTTTTTAGCAATGTAGCAGGGCTGGGCAATTTGACAATATTTATCATTACTGGGATAAATTACATCACAATACAATATAATATGATTTTCTGAACATATCATCAGTGCCTGAACACTAACCAACTACATGTTTTATTATAAAGAGAGCAAAATCAGACCCATTTAAGTGGATTTAGTGCAACAAAGTATGCAAAATATTAAATAAAAATCATTTTATTTTTTTAAATGTAGCGCTTCAGTTTCAAGTGATCTGATTTCTGAAAAAAATAAATATCGACATTTCATGTATCTTAAAATCTCTTGTAGCATTGCCACATTATATTTATGCCATATCGCCGACCTCTGCAAAGTAGATAATGAGCATATACAATGATGATAATGATAGGCAAAGACACTGAACTAATGCCCATAAAATAGCCATGTCCTTGTTGCCAAGTGATTTGTTTTTAGTTTGTAATTCTATTTTGGGCATTTTACACATAGTATCTAGGACCTGACAGTTAGCTGCAATGTATATCACATACATGGTGATTCATATTGTTTTGAAAGAACATATTAGACAACATAAAAACTTAATAAATAGTAAGATTCCTTTCTGAAAATGTTTACACACCTATGTAATTGATTTTGTGCAATAAAAAAAGACAAAATTTCAGACTGGTGTAATAACACCTTTAGAGGGCAGTAGTGAGTCATGTTTGTTTATTTGAGCTCCAGCTGCTTCTGTACTCAGCTGGAAGCTGATAAGATGAAAATCTAATAAGCTGAATAAGATGAAAATATCTAGTCAGCCAATCTGGCTACTTCAGTCTTGTATTTAAATAGTTGTATACAAATCAACAAAAAATAACAAATTATTGTTCACAATTATTTATATTACAGGTGATCATCAGCTAAACTTTCATGATCGTCAAATCTGTTACTGTGAGACACTTGGAAAAGACAGACACTGAACTTTATCAGTATCACCCAGCACTATTTTGCATTCTCAAACAACAGGACAGAATTATAACGCATCATTTTACCCTCTCTGTAACAGTTGGGACCCTACCTCTGACATGGGGGTCCCCCAGAAATCATTGAGAAAGAGGTTCTGGATAGGCGTGGAGGGACGAAGGTCTTTGTTGTCCAAAATGGCAGAGACATCATCAAACACGAAACCACACAGGAGACTGTTCCAGTAGCAGCCCACCACCAGTCCGGTCAGCAGGCAAATCTCCTTCCACGACAACACAGCCATCACTGACGTGTGACCTCATTGAGCACTGTAAGGAGGAGAAACCAGAGTCCACAGAACAGATTCAAGTCAGTCCACTCAAAACTGACACAATCCTCACCATATTACTCAGCCCTGGTCCTGGAAGCCCACAGCTCTGCACATTTTAGTGCTTTTCTTGCTTTAACACAGCCACTTTAACGTAATAATGGGTTCATACAGAGCTGAGCAGTTGGATCAGGTGTGTTGGGAGCAAAGAAAACACTAAAAACTTCAGGGCAGTGGACCTCCAAGACCCGGGTTGAGAAGCACTGACTTCATGGCATTAACAAAATGAATGACAAATGTGTTCTGGCACGTTTCAGTTTTCAGAAAGTCACAGCTCAAAACGGCTTTGGCTTTGAACAATGAATATTCAAAGTCAGGTTTTTAAACAACTAATTTTAAACATACTTTCGTTATTAAATATGAAAGTGACTCGAATGTCTAACACTCTGATGTGCTGATGTAGATCTATCATTTATATTTTCATTCAGCTGCTCAGTGAAAACACTGGAAACCTCCCCAAAAAATCAAAGCAGCTGAAGTTATGCTTCGTGAACAACACAGTAATATTTACGCTTAATCACAGCATACAGTAATTTGGCTCACTCTAACGTTACCCCTTCATCCAAAAACCAAAATCTAAAGACCGTCATCTAAAATCATGTAAACCTTCTGAGTCTCAGTCCTCACCCAGAGTGAAGGCTGAGCAGCTTATGGCAGCTATTGTATTAGCCACTACTGGCTAACGGCACTGAAAGAAGGGGCTACTGAAAACAGCCCCAGGTGAGCCTTATTAAACGATAAACGCTGGAGACCCACCTTGTCATGGCTTTGAGGAGTTATTCGGAAAGACAATGTAAGTATGGGTTTAAAAAACACAGCTGCTTTAATTCGGTAACGGCAACCCAGATTTTCGATGCTAATAGACTTTTTTCCCAGCTGTGTAACGAAAAACAGGTTCCGGGTTGCAACTCTCCTGTTTGGCAATATCGACTACTGTACCAAGCGTTTTAGTTCAGTATTTAAAAGTGGAAATAATCTATAAAGAAATTATTATAAGTAGAAATGATAAATGAATGTTATATAAATACATGGGTATTGGAAAGAACACAGAGGAATAAAAATTATTTTAGAGAAAAATATTATAAATAATAACAATAAAAACAATAATGAATTAATACATTATTTTCAAAATTGTTATTGAAAAGTATCATGTACGAGAGTTTAAAAAAGTATGTGTTGTCTATGTCGCATTCTGGTTCTTATTCGCATTTTTTCAGGTTAGGTCTTTTTTTAGTGAATAAATTGCATATGCCAGCCAGCTAAAGTAGCCTGTTTTAACAGATTTAACCAACGCGCATTTTAATCGGCATATCTTATTTTTACAAAGAGCTCTTTGTATGTTGCTTTTAATATGAAAAACAAATTCACGCAGAACTGCTGTACGTTTGCTGATCTCCAAATCATTCTTTCCAAAAATTGAACGAGCGGCTTGCTTGTCACATAATGTGTAGATCTTGATTTTCCCTCCCCAATCTTACGACGATGACGCGAAACGGCAACGAACGTCCAGCGAAATACGACTGTTTTCAGTGGTAGCCTAGCAACAGCGCGAGAAAATGGAACGTTTTAGTTAGCTAGCTGGCTAACGATATCGAGAATATGCTGTTAAATTTAAACGCCCGACTGAAATGTGTGACAATAAATAGCTTCTTTAACGTTTGGTTAGAGATTGAAATTGGCGACTTGGCTTTTTAGTGGACTATAAACAAACTATACATTTAGAAACTGAGCTAACGGTGTTGTGTTTGTGTTCGCCTTGCAGTAACGTTAAATTAAACAGTTCACTTCTACTCCGTTTCTTTCTTCTTTTGGTATCTAACTAACTAACTCGTTAAGTGTCTTGTTGGCTGTTGCTCTGAAATTGCGTGCTAGCTAAATGTCTAAAACAGCACCTTTGAAGCAGATGGTAATGACCACTGTTGTCATTGATGCTGGCCACAGAATTGACATCCTGTGACTCTTTTCGCTGCAGTCTGCAATAGTGCAATATATTACAGAGTGCACAGGAAATATGCTCGTTATGTGACTTGATCAGATTACCCGTAACGTTTTACTGCCTGCATAACTCAAGCCCAAAGTAGATGACTGTGTCCAGGTCTACAAGATACTCTTCAATTTAAACAGACAAGTATTTTACAAGGTACTTGGCTGTTTGTGTAACTCCACTGCCAAGATTTTGGACCAATTTGGACACAAACAAGCAAGATGCCTCCAGCCACAGACTGGAAACTAGTGATGAGTGTGGACCCTGACGTTCTGGGAAGCGAAGAGGAGCAGAAGATCTGTGACATTATTTTGAAGGTAATGAAATCCAAGTAAGCTGTAGCACATCACAGTATCAGTCATCTAGCCAGCATGTTAAAGTTTTGCCAGATGCAAGTGCTTTTTAATGTTTGGCTATGATCACTGTGTCACCAGTAAACTATATAGTTCCTGGCGTAGACTTTGGGAATAGTAAACTAGAGGATATAACAGAGGCCAGTTTCCTGAGGACATAACTGAGAGGAATATATGGATTTGTCCACATTTGGGGCAGTGATTCAAGGAAGTAAAGCCAAGGCTTGGACTAACCCACGCTGTAAATAGAAATCTTATATTTATTTATTGTTTGTTGTGTGGGTTTCTATGGGCCAGTTCTTTTCTTAAGTCTAGCCCTTGATTAATAATGTTTATTTGGAAAACTGGCATATAGTTAGAAAGTTATAAAGCACTACTCACCAGAATGAGGGACATATGAGGGCCAAACCCAGCTCATCCTTGTCTGCATGTCGTTAAACAACATGAATGTCCTTCTGCAGATCCATCCACGAGAGCTGAAGGAGGGCGAGCCAGAGAAAATAATCCAGCTGTTCAGAATCTCACAGACTTTACTGAGGGTACGACTCTTCAGATATTTTCTCTCCTTTTCCTCTGTCTCTTTTTTTCATGGGTGTAAAAAGCTTTTTGATCATGATTATATTTAACACAGACTCATTTTTCTGTAATTAGTTGAACATGTGCAGATTTTAAACCTCAGAAAAAGCAGCTGTTTTTAAGAAAGTTTGAAGGACTTGTCTAGGGGTGGGCAGCGTGACCACATTTATCGTTATCGTGCCAAATTATGCCACATTACATCACAACACTTTTTCTGAGCATATCATGGATATCATCAGTACTTATGGACTGATCAACTGCATTACAAAGCAAGCATAATTGGTCCGGTTTAATTGAATTTAGTGCAGTGCAGTTTGTAAAACAGTGAATAAAAATCATTGTATTCATATTTTTTGAGAGCATATTGTAGAAATACACCAATATGAGAATTAGGAGACATTTGTCATGTTTTATGAACCAAACTTTTAGAAATTGTAGGGTTACATTGATATAATTGATAAAATGCAGTAATTTTAGCGCAGTAACCCAGCGTCACCTAAACATTCTGCTCTTCCAAAGTACCATAAATATGTTAGCGAATATTGGATGTAATATCGGCCAAATCTAAACATCTGTCAACATCTGATATATATTTTTTTAAGGCAAATATCTGCTGATACTGATATGATTCTGATATTGCTCTGTACCCCTAGCTTTTTTTTAACGTGGCTATACAAGTTCTGTTTGTTCGAACTTTTCAAACCACAGAAGAACAAAATATTGTGATGCATATTGTGAAAACATCTTGAAATATCATGATATTTTTTTACTCTATCACCCACCACTATACTAGTCTTTTTGCTGTGCTTTTACCATTTGCTTATTTTTATATGACCTTATTGATTTTTTTTTTACTTGTTATTTATTTTTTTTAATTTATGCTTAACCTTTCTACTGTTTCTGAATTTTGGTAATTATGAAGCACACAACTGAAACTGTTCTGTAACACAAAGCATTATTAGTAGTAGTGTTAGCAGTAGTTGTGTTTTCACTAGTCTAACGGATTTGATTGTGCTGCAGCTGAAGTTGGAAGAAATAAGCTGTGCCTACGATGTCGTCGACAAAGCTGGCACCGAGCAAGCAAGAATTGGTATGTCTGCATTGTCAGGCGCTGAAAAGAAGTTGTCAGAAAGATTTGAAATGTGGTCTGATTCAATAAAATATCTTTCTCTTTATACAGAAACCGAACTCAATGCAAAGATATATAAATTGGAAAATGAGCTGGAGGTAAGCATGTGAACCAAAAATAAATAAAAGCTTGTACAATCAGAAACACTGGGTTAGTATTTTAACCTGGCAGTAATGTTTACTAACTTTGGGAGGCACCAGACACAGAATAATAATACCTCTGTGTTATCAGTGGCCTTTTATTGTTCTGTCTTATGAGCTGGACAAGCTTGAGAAGATTAGCAGGCTAATCTTTTTGGCTGTGAGTTGTTGTCAGTTACAGATATACCTCGTTTAACCTCTATTTTGTGCATTTAATCAGAATATATAACATGCTCTGCCAATAAGTGTGAAATAAATCCATCCTGAAGTGCAGGTAATGCATGCAGAGGGAGATGCAATGTTCTTGGTGTGTTGTTAAGGCTTATTTACACTTGTGGATGTCCAGATGGCACAGCGCTCAACGGGGGGGCGGGACACACGCTTCCTCCGGGACGAAATCCGCCAACTGGAGAGTCACTTGGAGCGCAAGGAGAAGGAGCTGGTCCAGCTGGAGAAGGAAATGAGTAAAGAGAGGAAAACCAACGAGGAGGTACAACATCTGTACTGCTTGTCCAGTTCTTCTACTAATGCATTCAAACAAAGCTGCACAGTACACTACTTAATCTGTTGTGTCTTAATCTGTACATTTTTAGGACAGATACCTTTTGGTGATATATTTTCCACCATGTAAATACAACAACTAATGCGTGTTGATTGAAGGCCAGATAATAACTGTTTCGAGCATTTTTTTTGAACACTCTAGCTGTCACATCGAGCAGAGGAGGCTGAAGATGAGAACAGAAAGCTAAAAAGAGAGGTAAATGCACGTCACTGTCTCTCCGCATGTAATAATACCCATATGCATGCTTACACAGAAGCTAATTTGAAATAAGATTTCTTGTTATGTGCTCCCGAGGTTGTTAGGGCTCTCACTGGTAGTTCAGTGGAAATAAGACGAAGTGTTATTGTTCTGTGGGAATGCCATGGACACTAGCGAGCACAGGTGCTTCAGGCATGTGTTTCCTTTACCCTCCCATCTCTATCCCTGAATCACTCCATTCTCATCATTGTTTCTGCTTGTTCATGTTCAAGTGTTTTGTTTTCATAATCCCATTTTCATTTTTATGCATGTTGCATGTTGCCTTTTTCTTTCTGCACTATCATCGCTTATCCGTCGCTGTCTTTGCTCTCACCACCAAGATAAAGCAGCTTAAGAAGAAGGTAAGACTCTCAGAGTGAGAGGAACCAGACTGTCTCAGCTTAGTATGTGTGTATGTTTGGAAAAAAAAATTGAGAAAACATCCAGAGCAGGAATGAACGATCGCTGGTTTAAATGACGTTCACTATTGATTTGCTGTATATATGCTGTTTTTGGCTGGGTCTCCTGTAGAATGAACAGCTCCATCAGGATGTGGAGTTCTACAGGAAAGAGCTGGAGCAGAAGGACTCCCTCCAGACCAGAGAGGAGAGCACTGAGACTCAAAGGAGGCTCAACAAAGCCAACCAGCAGCTCTACCAGTGCATGGAAGACCTGCAGGTCAGCTGGAACACACTGCTTCAATCTAATCTCTGTCATGCAAATATATGGTCACATTTAAAGGATGATTTTTCAAAATGACTTCATAATTAAATCACTGATATGCCAGCAAAGTCATTCAAAGTGGTTTGGAAATGGTAGAGAAAATTGGAAGAATTTGAATATCGAGGTACATCAAGAATAATTTTATACAGCATCGATAAGATTTTTGATAAGATTTTTCAAGATGAGGTTTTTCTTGGATTCAAACCACAAAGTAAATCATAACCTAATTTAGGAAGTATGTTTTTACATAGTTCCTAAACTATGTTTTTACAAAGTTATTGTACATCCTGTTGTACATATTTTGTACATATTATCCCATCTTACCTCAAGTTAGGAAATCCTACACTACTTGAAGTTGGCAGTCAATTGTCATGTATGTTACCAAGCAACCGACCTGACATGCACAGCTAACACTCAGATAGGCTTTAAGTTAAAACTGATGCTAAAGGAAAAACAACCATAAACAACTGCAGCATTTAAGGTAAAGAATATATCAGTGGTCAAATATCAGTGTTTAATCTAGTAGTATTAAACCAAGTGTGGTAAATTGAATGTACAACACTGTTAGCTTGGCGCTGACATCATAACCCCTCAGGGCCACTAGCAGAAATTAGCATTAGCAGATCTGGTAAGTTAGCTAGCTGTTAACCAGATAAATAAAGGATATTTATAGAGTGAAATTATTTACATTAACACACTCCTAGATAATAAAATTAGCGTATGTTCATGATTATATGACAAAAGATCAGGAATTGAACTGTAACTAATATCTCATGGTTTATTTTATGGTGGTGTAGGTTGTTAGTTAGCTTAGGCTAAAAAAAGCTCTAATTTAGCTACGGGTGCTATGGAAGAGTGGTGCTTCACATTCATGACAAAGTAGTTTCTTATTGGGATATTCTAAAACTATTTGTTTAAAAATTCAGTTATTCCAATAGCAAATATGTCTAAAATGTTCATTCCTGCTAGTGAAGTCTAGTGAACTTGTTAGCTAAGTTATCTATGTAGTTATCTAGCTACAGGGTAACTTTGTACTTTCAATAAAATGGAAGATTAAAATAGAAGTTAGCTGAAATTTACGACACTGTAAAGGGGATTTTGGTAAGTTAGAATGTTTCTCTAATACGTTTTGTCCTGTCTGGAAAAAATAATGGGCAAAATGTTATTCTGTATTAGCTACTTTCCTAAATGAGATCCTCACTGAAATTATCATGGTTACCAGACAGATGAGATGGATTTCAGAGTTAATACAGCTGCTCTACATTTTGTGTATTTGTTCATTTGTTAAACAATTTATTGTCACATTTTGCCTGCCTGCCTGGTATAACTCCCATTCATCCTGTATGTTCATCTGGCAGCATGCTGAGGACATGGCTGCCAACCTGAAGAGTGAAAACGAGCACTTGCAGAAAAATCTGGAGGAGTCGGTGAAGGAGATGGAAAAGATGACAGATGAATACAACAAAATGAAGGTTGTGGTCCAGCAGACCGACAGCATAATGGACCAGCTGAGGAAAGAGAGAGACCAAGCCAAGCTCCAGGTTTTTTTATTAGCTTATATCTACAGTTAGTTAATTTGAGGCTGTGCAGTATTCCTTGAGGTTTTATGACCTGTTATGTTAAAAAATGACTAGTCCAAAGGAGCTTGAGAAAATTTAACTGACAATAAATTATTCTTCACTTCAGTCTTTTCTTGACTGTCACTATAGGTGAGAGAGCTAACAGAGCAGATCCAGGCTCGGGCTGAGGAGGATGATCCAGTGATGGCTGCAGTCAGTGCTAAAGTCGAGGAGTGGAAGGTAATATAGCACTACTACCCTTCGCATCTTTGTTTGGTGGTTGTTTTTCCCACCACCAATTAAATCCCATCCATAAACTGAAGGCTTCCAAATGGTGAGGTTATGAGTTTCATCCCTGCTGATGCCACATCCGTCCGTGGCTAAGAGTACAAGAAAGCATAATTGGCTTTGTTGTCTGTGGGTGGGTAGAATGGTCCTCCTTCTCAACCCATCACTCAGCGTGATGCTAGCCAATATGGGTGTCTGTTAAAATACTTGGCAGTTAGTGTTTTCCACCAAGCATGCTAAGCTATTCAGTGGTGTTGCATTAGCGGCAGTTTGAGAAAATGTGGTGGTGCTTCACACGTCCCAGATTGTGTCGTGTGATAAGGGAAGACTTGGCTAATGGGTGGTATTGGACATGACTAAATTCTGGGGAAACAACAACAAAACAAAAAAACGCAAGACATACAACTCTTTCAAGTGAAGTTAAAATTTCTGTATGCTTAAATCTTGTTGGACATGTGTAATTTCGTTCTCTGCCTGTCCATTGTTCAAGGAAAACTAGTCTGGCAGTTTTGCGTGTTTTCAGTTGTTTTCTTTTTGTTCTAAAACAACAAGCATGGCTCTGAGTAATCTAAAGAATTGTTTTCACTTAGCCTCATGAGTCAGAGCTGTTGACAGGTTAATTATCTGTATGCTATCAGCATCAGATTTGTGCCAACTGTTATTTTACACAAACACTGATTTACTTTTTAAAACATTTCTTTAGAAAGCCATTTAATTGTGGTTGTTACTTGTCACTCTCAATGTTTTCTCTGTGTGTTTTGTGTAATGTTGTGCATGTGTGTGTGTGTGTGTGTGTGCGTGTGTGTGTGTGCGTGTGTGTGTATGCAGAGTGTATTATCAGGAAAAGATGCGGAAATCGTGGAGTACCAGCAGATGATTCGGGACCTGAGAGAAAGGCTAAGATCTGCCCATATGGATTCAGACAAAAGCAACATCATCGCATTGCAGCAGGTCCGGGGCTAATCACAAGCCTTACTATTCTCACACTGTGGACCAGATACAAAGCTTTTTAATAGTGGTGTTTTAGGAGCTAAACAGCAGTTAAACCCTCATTTCAGTTGCAATAAAAACAGCAAATACATAAACACAGTATTGTGCAAAAAGTACTAAACAGAGACCTTTATTTGTTTATCAGTCAAAAGGGCCACTAAGTACAAGAGATTTATTTTTCAGGTGATATTTCTGATAGATCTTTAGATCTGAAAAAATGTGAGTAGACAGCTCAACCCTAAGGGTCTGAAAGGATGTGTGGATGTCAAGAAGCCCTTACTTAGAAAAATAAATAGCCAATCAAACAATGAAGCTGCTGGTGTTCTCAGAACAATGGACTGGCCAACCCCAGAGTCCAGACCTCATGAAATGTGTTTAGGATTGCTTGAATCATGAGAAGCAGAAAATGCAACCACTTTCTAAGACTGAGCTTTGAAAAATATCTATGCAGACTTCTTTGAAAAACTCAAAGCGAGTCTCCTAAAAAGTATGGAAACTGTAATAAGGGGCACCCCAAATACTGACAATTTTGATTTTGTATTTAGTAGCTTTTGTGTGATTTTCTGTTAAATAAATATTTAGTTTTTTCCAGACACTGAAAAATGAACAACTTGTACCTAATGGCTGTTTTGACCTGGTAAGACTGTGGTCTCTGACTTCTTGCAAAGTACTATATGCAGAGATGTTCTCCATACCTAACAGCTCTTCCACTCATACACATCTCACATTTTACATACAAAGTGCATTCAGCAAACTGACTTCTGAATATAATGCTTAGCAAAATCTGTTTATTTCTTGCACTGTGCTTGTGAAGAGACACCTTTCCTTCCATCTCTGTCCATCTTCTGTTGGTTTCTCAGTTATATGATGCTTTCACATTTGTCCTCTTGTTCTTTTTTTCTTTGTGGCTCATTACATGCATGATGCAGGTCATTTATGAGTTGTGTGGTGTAAGTATCTTTTTAGCTTTGTTTATGTTTATGTTTTAACTGCTTCATCTCTGTATTTGACCTTGTACCTTTTGTAAATGCATTTTCACTTGTTTTCTGTCTCTACACTGCCCTTATATTGTCTTTCACATCAATGTGCTACATAATTTGTACTGAAGATGAATGTGTTTTTGTGTGATCTGCCATTCAAAGGCTGTGCAAGAGAGAGACCATCAGATCAAGCTGCTGTCTGAACGAGTGGAGCAGTACACTGGCGAGATGGAGAAAAATGCCTTGCTTATAGAGGAGCTCAAGAAGCCACTGAAGAAAGAAAAAGGTACATTTCTGCTATTGACAGACACGCAATATCATGGGGTTTTTACTTTTTTTGTCACTTCTGTTGTTAACAAAGGCCTTTGTTTACAACAGCTGGAAAAAAACTTAGTAACTCAGTAAATATTACAGTAAATGTGACCATACACATCCTATTTTGTTAGTGACCTCTAACCCCTTCATGAGTGCTTATTTGTCCATATGCTGAAAACAGAGTAATCGTAGAGTATGCTGCTTCATGTTGAAGAATGTGCATTCCACACCCTCCTAGCCTGCACTTCAGCCATCCAGTAAAAAAACAGCAGAACATTGGTGCCACCAGTTCCATGACACTACTGTTATAACACTGTGCGGGTTGGTCCTGGCAGGGCTGGGTTCTACTCTGCAGCAGAGGAAGATAGAGGAGCTAAACGCCAGGCTACAGGCAGCAGAGCGAAAGGCACAGCAAGCTGAACGTGCTGCACACCTGGCTGAGGCTGACGCCCGTGACAAAGACAAGGAGCTGAGCGAGAGCCTCAGTCGCATCCGCCTCTACGAGTCTGTGAGTGAAGCCAGTGATTCCCACCTAGATATGGTTGGCGGATTGATATGATTGAGATGTAAATAAGATTTTCTCTGTCAACTGAAAGTCCACATTTTTTACTAACATCTCTGAAAGCAAGGCTAGTAAATAAATAATTAAAATTTGTCTATGCCTGAAATGAAAACTTTTTTTCTATTTTTCTGTATAACACACAAATTGATGCTATATATTTGGCGGCCTAGGATAATGTGTAGGCTGCCTAGTAATTAATGGGGTCACTAAGAATGGGCAGCTAAAATTTAGCATGACAGCATCTCCTACATGTTGTTTGAGGTACCTCATATTCAGAGTTGTACTACATTATGTAATACTTGAATGTTTTCTTTGAAGTACGTTTTCTCCTCTATGTTTTGCTGGACAAAATATATATGTTTCTGTTTCTGTTTCAGGGCACTGATGGACTGGAAGCTGCCATAGCTGAAATCAAAGAGGTCAAAACCCAGGTCAGGATCCGGGACCGGGAAATAGAAGGCATGACTAAGGAAATAAACCAACTGGAACTGAAAATCAATGACCTTCTGGATGAGAACGAAGAGCTGAGAGAGCGCCTAGGTCAGTCACATGCATTATGAATATATTTACCTTGCAGAAGACATGCTGTTATGCTGGCCCTTTTCTGTTCTCTTGCTTTCAGACATTTAAGTGTCTCTGTGATGTTATATTTTGGTTATTGTCGCTATTAGGATTAAATCCAAAAGAAGAAGTGGATTTGACTGAGTTCCGGCGATTGAAAGCATTGAAACAGAGACAGTACAGAGCAGAGAACCAGGTTCTGCTGAAGGAGGTACTGAGACTTAAGCTGTAAAGCTTTTTAATAGGCATATTGTTAACATCAACTTTATGGTGCAGTATACTTTTACCCTGAGAAGTCTAATAAGCCATGCTTTAGAGTTTAGTTTCCATTGTAAACACACCAATTAGAGCTTCTCAACATGTGTACTCTGGTTACTGATTGTTTCCCTACTGCTTTTAAAGTGCTAATAATATGGATGACAACAATAAACTTTGATCTATGTCACATAAAACCAGCAACAACCTTCAGAGTTTTGTGATGTGTGTTGTGTCAGCCTCTTTGATCTTCTCTTAGATTGAACGTCTTGAGGAGGAGAGGCTGGAGCTGAAACAGCGTATCCGTGCCCTGGTGAAAGACAAAGGTAAAGGCCTTTGTTGGTGATGTACGTTTCCAACCACAAATTATTCAAGGACTGATAATCAGGGGTTCTCACGTAGGCTACTGTAAATTTGTTTACATAGGAGTCAGATGATTACACAGTGGCCATTAAGTTAACTAATTGGTATAGTGCAGGTAACTCTGAGGTTCATTTCGCTGCCAGAGAAAGCGCACAACTGCTATACCAGTAAGAGTCCCTGGGCAAGACTAATGCTATATTCATCTATGCCTGTAACGTGATTAAACTGCCAAAAGTCGTAAATGTAGATGTATTTCTATGAACTATCAGTGATCAGAATTAATAGGCAGAAATTTGGATTCAGTGAAGAGTATGTCTGTTTTAATAATATAAACATTTTTACATTGTCTAAAAGCAGTGTGCAGAGCTTTTCACCGATCTTCCATTCCTCTTTATAGGAATTACAGTGATCAACAGTTCACTGCTCGAAGATGATGCCGAAGAGGGGCCGAGCAGGTCCATTAGGGAAAGACCAGGCTTCAGTTCTACTGATGAGCAGGTCAAACAGAAAGTAAGTTTCAAGGAAAGGGATGACATCACAGAGACGGGTTGCGAAAGTAGAGTCATTTTCACCTGTTTTGTTTGTAAATTAGCAATAACTGAATAACAATTGAATAACAAACAAAAAAACTTCTCTTCATAAACAGTTTGCATCATTTGATTTGTACTACCTTGAGCTCAGACTACAGTTCTGGCCTTTGTTTTCCTGTCCCCCTTTTTTCAGAATGAGTACTTGCAGAGAGAACTGAACAGCAGAGAGAAAGAGCTGGAGCTGAAAAGAACAGAATCCTCACAGTTCAAAGCCAAACGTGAGTGCCAGCCCGGGTTTCCTGTTTCAATGTTAAATAAGAACCGATTCCACAGATTTCTCAATATTTCTGAATAATTCAATTACTGATATGCAAGTCATTCAGAGAGGCTTAATGTGAAATGGTCCAGAAACTTCTCATCTCAAAATTCTTTACAGTGGATGTAATGGGAAGGGTATACAGTGCAAATGTAGACACTTTATTTACTATGTAAAATGACAAGTTTTCTCAGTTTTTATATGTAATGCTGATAAAGATAAAACAGTGGTAAATCCAAAAAATCTGGTTTCTTTGGATGCAATGTCCTACACATACTTCTCTGCAATGAATGTATTTCAAAAAATATGTACAGGCGAAAAGCTTTTCATAAAACTCATCATAGTCAATAGTTCAGGCATAAATATTTCATGTAATAACGTTCTGTGAGTGAGCTTTTAGAGACATTACACTATCAGCACCACTGGGAACAATTCTGACTCAGTAAGTTTCTCTAGAATGGAGCATGCATTTCTCATCAATCCTTTCTGAATGACTTTGTTTGTCTTAACTGTTTAATTTTACAGCCATTTTGAAAACTCAGTGGCATGTTGCTTTAAAGCTTTTGTTGTGTTGTTTATTGACTACTTGGTCCCCTCTGCAGTGAACGAGATGCTGAAGGAAAATAAGCAGCTGGAGCAGAGCATGAAGGAGATCCTGCAGGCCATCCAAGAGGCGCAGAGCAAAACTCCTGCCCAAACCAGTGTCAGAATTCCCAGCCTGGAGAGACTTGTCAGTGTACGTTCTTCCACATAAACCACAAAGCCTGCCTTGACCTACATTGTTAATAAAACTTAGTAATTTGTACTAGTACAGTACAAGTAGATTACATTACATTGCAAGACAACGAGGTGTAACATTATAGGACAACACTAATTAATGAAAGCCTGATCAATAAAAAGTAAACATGATATAAAAAGTCAAACTCACTGTTATTATATATACTTATGCTGTTAATTCAAATATGTATCTTACTATGTCCAGGTTCTGGAAATGAAGTACTCAGAAGGGAAGGCTGATGTAAATGCACATCTGAGGGCACAGGTAGATCAGCTGACTGGCAGGAATGAAGAACTGAGGCAAGAAATGAAGGCAGCTAGAGAGGAAACAGCCAGCACACTCACTCAGCTAATGAAGGCCAATGACAAGGTTTGTCTCAGACTCTTAATTTTTGTGAGTTTGAGTTGTTCAGTGGTGACGTAGGTTTGAAGTTGATTTATAAATTCTTTGTGATTAAAGTCACTTGTAAAACTAAAGTTAAAAGAGGCTATAAATTTGTTTGAGCACAATAATGTTGATGGTTGTTCATTTTCTCAAATTCTTCTGGTCAGATTGCACGCTTGGAGGGTGAGATTGAGGCAGTAAGGCTGTCAGCTGGCACAGCTGTGCCTTATAAGACTCTCTCATTACCTAAGGAAATGGCACCAACCAGTATGCAAACCATTAACTCTCTCAACGAATATATAGTCCAACTGTTACAGGTACACATCAGACCACCCACATAATACAGTATATATGACTGTACTGAAATATATTAAAAGACTAAATTAATATTTGGAACTACCAAACAATTTTTAGGAGATTAAGAACAAAGAAGATTCCAGCAAGCAGCTCGGTCTGGCCTTGGAAGAATATAAGAGGAAATCTGCCATCATCCGCCACCAACAAGGGTTACTGTATAAAGAATATCAAAGGTTTGTGCAGCCTAAATTGTAAATTAGTGAAGGTTCTGAACAATGTTGCTTTGTTTTAATGTGAGCACTGTCCACTTTTGTTTTAGTGAGAAGGAGTCTTGGCAGAAGGAGAGAGATTCGTTTGCTGAAGTGAAGGCCAGAATGGAGGAACAGAAGGAGGTGGATGAAGTGAAGATAAAAGAGTATAATGTAAGTCATCATGAGATATTTCATGATCTGTGCCTCATCTGTACCTGCACAACGCACAAAGTTTATCCTCTGTAAGATATCTGACTTATTATAAGACTTATCTTTGACCAAGTGGTTCAACATACAGTCAATTTTATAAATACAATTCAAAATGAACTCTTACTATTCCAGATTTCGAATTTAATTCATTCATCCTGTTGTGCATGGATTCTTAGAACTGGTTGGAGGCTCTGGAGAAGGACCCAGTTGAGATCAGGAGGCAGGTGTCCGAGGCTGCCCGTAAGATGACCGTGCTCAGAGTGAACGAGAAATCCCTGACCCGCCGTTACACCACCCTGCTGGAGCAGGAGCAGCACCTGAAGAAGGAGAATAACAAGCTGAAGGATGACTTTGTCCAAATGGAGGTTGCAGTCACTGAAAGGATTGGCTATCTTCAGAGATTCAAGGTGCAATGTTCTCTTTTTTTTATTTACAAAATCCAAAAAGACCGTGTAAATATGGCATGAGAACACCATGTCTATACACTGTAGTTATTTAAAATGTGGCAATTTAAAAATCAGTGTATATTTGGCTACAAAGTGTGTATGTTTTGACTTTGGCAGGAGATGGCTGCATTCAAAATGGCAGCACTCCAGAAAGCTCTTGATGACAGTGTTCCATCATCAGAGCTGGAGAGGGCAAACAAGCGGTATAATGATCTTACAATCAAATACAGAGATCTCCTTCAGAAGGACAATCACCTTGTTCAGAGGAACACCAGTCTAGAACATTTGGAGGTATGGTGTCTTGGAGTGATGTTTACATGTCTAATCATTTTCGAGGAATTATCTTAAATCTAGTTAATATATCTGGGGTTGTTGTAAAAATATCATAAGATTATTTAACTTTGAACACCCTTGCTCAAATTACACAATGTTTTGTTGATATTCTAAGTGGAAATAAGATCCTCTTCAGCAGACATCACCAACCCTGTGTCTGGAGACCTACTCTTTACATCCAACCCTGATTCATTCCACCTGACCATTAGATGTTCTTGATTAACTGAATGAAGTATGACTAATTTAGGTTGGAGGTAAAACCTGCAGAAAGATAGATCTCTAGGACTTAAATATTGCATTTTCTTCAGATTTTAGTGCACAGTTTCTATTTATTTGCTTGTTTATTGTTTAACATATTAAAAAACGCATAAAATAGGAATGTCATAAATTCAGCAACTGTGTACTAAAATGTGCAGAAGTGTGTTGTCTAAAGAGATTGTGTTTACTTATTTTCATTTAGAAAATTACCAAAACATGTACCACAGGTGCCCAAACTTTTGCATATGACTGTATTTCTAGATATTTTTACTAGTTTTAAGTCATGCAATCTAGTGAAATACAGTCATATGTGAAAGTTTGTGCATACGACTGTATTTGTTTGCAGAAACAATGCTGAAACAAACTAAATTATCTGCCAATAGAATAAGATTGGTTCACTAGATGATAATTATTTCAAATCATTGAAATAAAAATCCAGTAATTGGTTGAATAATCTTATAATATTCTTACATCTGTCTCAAAATAAAAAATATTTTGATATGCTTTCACTTGATCATTTTTGCAGTGTAATGTGTTTTGAGCTTGAGTCTCACACTGTTACTAATGTGGTTTCAGAATGAAAATGTTTCTCTCCGTGAGCACATCAGTTACATCATCAAAGAGCTTGAAATCACAAAAGAGAAGCTGCACAGTCTAGAGCAAGCCTGGGAACACATCAATGACAGTGGTAAAGCTCAGTAATTCACTTTCTACATAGTTACATTGTTATGAAGCCTCTTCAGAGTTAGATTGCTGATCTAGGATCAATCAGTATTTGTGGGTTTTTTTGGCTCCTAGTAACTACAGCTACATTATCAGGGAGAACCTGATCCTATCCTGAATCAGTATCTGATCCTAAATCTTGCTTAGAGATGCTTCATAACTATGGCTGAATACTAGAATAAAATTCCAGTGAGCAGGCCAAATGGACCTTTGCTATGCTTATTTAGATGATGATGGTAAGTTTGTGTTTGTCTACAGGTGGAGAGAGCAGTATGGACAAAGCAGCAAAGGCTCTGGCCAACAGTGAGATTGTGTCCGTGTCCAAACGCATCACCACTCTGGAGATAAAGGAGCTGAACGAAAGGCAGAGAGCTCAGCATGCTCAGAAGATGTATGAGCACCTGAGGAACTCTCTCAAACAAGTGGAGGAGCGCAACTTTGAGCTTGAGGCAAAGTTTGCTGAGGTCGGTCTACAGCTTGACAGTTGTAAAACCTTAAAATAAATGGAAGTGGAGGCATTGCAAGTGCTTTAAAGTCTTTGTAATGATGGCTGATGTTTAACAATGTGGCATAAAAACACAACAAAACAGTCTCTTTTAAGTCATCTGTAACACATGTGTCCAGATGGCAAAGCAAAACATGGAGGCCCAGCGAATCGAGCGTGAGCTACGTGACGAACTCGCCAACAGTGTTAGTAAAGAAGTCAGTGATGCAGACCGGCAACGCATTGCAGAGCTGGAGAAAAGTGAAGCCCAGCTCAGGACTGAGGCATCCAAGTAAGCCCAATGAAACATGGTAATATAGTGATAATAAGCAATTCATTTATTGTCCTTTTTACAGGAATTGCAGTACTTTTCACATCTTATTAATCATACTTAAGGTAGTCATGGGTGCTAATTGAGTGTGAAATGTTTAGGTTACGGGAGGTTTCAGATGTGGCCAAAATGCAGGTTTATGCATTGGAAGCCAGACAGCAATGCCGAGGGAAGGAGGTGGAGAGTCTCAGAAGGCAGGTGCTCGATTATCAAGTAAGACATTTGTTCCTTCAGCAGAGTATGTGGTTAAGAATGTCTGATATGCACACTTGGTCCATTAGATATGCTTGTGTCGCTGCGGATAGGCATGGTTATTCAAATAAGCAAATGTCTAGACTTTTTTCATTTACTTATTCAGGTATTTGTAAAAGACATGAACAGTTTTAAATAGTATTATCTTGTCATTTTTAAATATGTACAATGACATGTTTTGTTGAGGGAACCAACTTAAATATGGCATCTTTCTGCAAATTTTAGTTCACAGTTTTTGTTTATTTGCTGAGTCTAAGGTATTGGGGGAAAAAAATCCATAAGTTACAGGCCACATTTTAATTTCCAGTATGTTACATTCAGCAAATAAACAGTAACTGTGCATTATAATGTGCAAATATATATATATATATATATATATATATATATATATATATATATATATATACACACACACACACACACACACACACAGAAAAAAGTGACAGATTTGTATGATGTAAGCATCAAGTTCTGATCAAGTATGAATAACAATATTAAATCATTTTTATATTGAAATACTATACTTTTAGTTTCTTATACTTCTTGTGTTTACAGATAATAAAGAACTATAGTGACGGTTTCTTTAATCACATTATACTGACTATGTTCCATGGCCAGGCTCAGTCTGATGAGAAGGCTCTGATAGCCAAGCTCCACCAGCACATCGTGGCCCTTCAGCTGAGTGAGACAGCAGCCATAAGCAAGCTGGAGGCCTCTACTGCCCGTCTGCAGAAGCTGGAGACGCAGAAGCTGAGGGCAGAGCAGCAGCTGGATGCTCAGCAGCAGGCCCTGTGGCACGCACGACAGGAGGGGCGCCAGCGAGCCCGTTACCTCCGCCACGCCCTACAGGCCCTCCGCACACAGTTCTCTGGGGCACTGCCACTTGCCCAGCAGGAGAAGTTCTCCAACACCATGCTGAAGTTGCAGGAGGACAGACTGAAGGCCAGAAAGGAGGCGCACATGGCACAGGAGGAGCACAGGACAGCAGAGGGGAGGGTGCAGGAGCTGGAGCTCAGGCTAAAAGGTCTGGAGGAGCTTATGGCAACACTGAAGGATACCAAAGGAGCACAGAAGGTACTGGTTAACCATCAGGGATAGGTTTAGTGAAATAAGCTTACAAATAAGAGTTGTAGCAAAGTAAAGCTGTAGTTAGGTAACTGTTAATGTTTTAAATATGTCTGATATGTCAGAGTAGTTTGGTTTCTGGAAATCCTATAAAAGCATTGTTTTATATAACATATAATACATATAATATATAATAGCTTTTAAAATAGCTTTTAGAATTAATTCATTTATTTCAATTAGCTACTTGTTAAAATTCACTTGTTTGAGAAAATGTCATTGTTGCGTAGTATTTCACTGGCACCGTGAGTGTGTTCTGTTCAGCATGAGTGTTTCTCACCCTGCCCTTTAAAGGTTAGTGAATGGCATAAAAAGCTGGAGGAAGCTCGTCTGCAGGAACTGAGGAAAAACAGGGAGCTGGGAGCTCTGAAAGAGGAGATCAGGTACCTGAAGAACATGGTGGCTGAGCAGGAGCACACCATCAGCAGCCTGGAGGAAGAACTAGTGCAACAGAACAATGTACGACTGCCACTTGCTATTTTGAATTATATAGAAATTACTTAAACACAACAAAATGCTAGCTTCAAAGACCTGTGATAAAATTATGAAGTATTTTCAGTGAAGAGAATCACCATTAAGAGAGCTAATGTAGGTTATATTATATTTATTACCTGGTGTGAAAGAATTTGATTCTTCTCTTCCAGCTCCTGGAAGAGCGGCAGCTTTCTTGGGATCAGAGGGAGGTGGAGCTGGAGCGGCAACTTGACGCCTATGAGAAACAGCAGAGCCAAATTATTAGTTCCGCACAAAAGGTGCTGTCTGCAGTTCACTCTGGACTTCTTACCTTTGTTCTTGTTTTGGACAATGTAGAGTACTCTTTCCATTACATCAGCTGGCTGAAAAGATTGCTTCTTACCTAAAATGCATGCGTTTTTTTTTCCTGTTTGGTTGGTTTTAGTTTGAAGAAGCAACAGGTTCTCTGCCAGATCCAAGCCAGCCTCTTGCCCACCAACTGGACCATGCACTGAGTAAAATCAAGGAACACGTTCGCACCATTTTGGAGACGCAAGCCACTTGCAAAACTCTGGAGGAGGTCAGTAGTATAATATTTACTAATGAACAGTGTGAGGGTTGAATGAATGAACTGAAGCATCTCTGTAACAAACATGAATATCACTCCAAAAAGTGGACACATGCTCCACCTATCTGTATCTAGATGTATTCACAACCATATAATGAATTATTTATAATCTTGCACTGTTTCAACTCATGCTCCACCTATCTGCTTCTAAATGTGTTCACAACCATATAATAAATGATTTATAGTTTTGCACTGTTTTGTGATGCTCGTCACTATATTTTGTTGTTCATGTTGTGTGAGCAGAAGCTGCAAGAGAAGACAGCAGCTCTGTGGCAGGCGGAGCAGAACGTGTTGGCCCGAGACCGGGTCATCAATGAGCTGCGGCTCCGCCTTCCAGCCGCTGCTGAGAGGGAGAGGCTCCTCGCTGACCTTAGCAAACAGGAGGACACAGACACCCAGCCTGCCCTGAAGATCGCCCATCAGACCATCAGCAACCTGCAGTGCCGTCTGGACCAGAAAGAGGAGGTTCTGAAGAAGTACCAGAACCTTCTAGCCAAGGCTAGACAGGTACTTAAAAAGCAGTTAATCAAAAAAATACTAATGATGCTGAAAATGAATAAAAGCTTATTCATTATTATTAGCATTGAGTGAATGTCTAAATGGGAGCATATTTCATATAATTCAGTAATAAAAGTTCAGATGTTTAAACACTGGTGCCTTGTTTTGGGATACGTTCCCCTGAGGTTTCAGTGGTCATGTAAATATCACTATAAAGACTGAGGGCCAGATACATATATGAGCACAGATGCAGCAAAATGTGTCTTAATATGACAGCAGTATGCCCTCACAATGAGTCTGCAGTTAATATTCAAATTAACTAAGGCTCCGCAGAGGACAAGAAACAAGGACAAGAAAAAAGGAGTGGTGAAATAGTGAAGCAATCACCAAGTTTGAGCCAAAATATCTCCACCCCATCTCTGTGCAATCCACATACTTTTTGCATATGCTTGAGCGTGAGAAACACATTTTGCGTTTTCCCTGCATACGGCCCATAAACTGTGTTTTTAGGCTTATCTGCCAGTTTTGTATATAACATGGGCAGAATGCATGTGCAAGAAGTTTACTACATGAGGCCCAGAGTTTAGTCAGGTTTTTATCCATTTCAAACAGCCAGTACAGTTCCCAAATTAAGTTCCATGCATTACACATCTACTGTCTTTAGAATATCAAAAACACTTGTACTGAGTAGATATCAGTGTTTTCATTGCTTTGAGTACCAGTGATGAGTAGCCCTCAGCTTTCTTTAGGAAGAATATTGGTGTTTGCTTTGGTAACAGATGGTTTGAGATTATAAGACTAAGTATAAGACTTTGAAACCTGACAAAAAGTATATTGCATAAATACAACCCCATTTGTATTTTGTCCTCCAGGCTAAAGAGCTAACCCAGCTTGTTATCAGTGCACAGTTCAAAAGCCAGTATTCATGATGGTATAGGGGTGCATTAGTGCACATGGCATGGGTCGCGTGCACATCTGTGAAGGCACCATTAATGCTGAACGATATATACATGTTTTGGCAACATATGCTGCCATCCAGATGACGTCTTTTTCAGGGAAGGCCTTGCTAATTTCAGGAAGACAATGCCAAACCACATTCTGCATGTATTACAGCAGCATTGTTCCATATTAAAAGAGTCCAGGTGCTAAACTAGCCTGCCTGCAGTCCAGACCTGTCACCGCTGAAAACATTTGGCACATTATAAAATGAAAAATACGACAGAGGAGACCCTGAGCTGTTGATCAGCTGAAACCCTATGTTAAGCAAGAACGGGAAAATATTTCACTTTCAAAACTACAGCAGTGTCTCCTCAGTTCCCAAACGCTTACAGGAGTTTTGTTTAAAGAAGAGGTGATGAAACACAGTGGGAAACATCCCCCCGTCCCAACTTTTTTGAAACGTGTTGTTGGCATCAAATTCTAAATGAGCATATATTTTTCAAAAAACAATAAAATTTCTCAGTTTTAACATTTGATTTGTTGTCTTTGTGAAATATAGGGATTAAATGATTTGCACATCATTGCATTTAGTTTTTATTTACATTTTGCACAGCATCCAAACCTTTTTGGAAATGGGGTTGTACATTCATTAAAATATCTAACAATTTAATGTATAATATAAAGTAATCTCTCTCTCTCTCTCTCTCTCTAACAGGAGCAGGAGGAAACAGCAAAAAAGCATGAGGAGGAAGTGAGGACCCTGCTCCAAAAGTTGGACCTACACACAGACACGTCTCTGGACCACTTCAAAAAGACTGCTCTGGTGAGTTTCTGTTCTCAGTCTTAAAGATAGCTCTATAACATATAGTGTGACCCTGATGTAGTGCAAGAGTGTAATATGGCATGTGGTACTCCTTAGGCAGTTCAAACTTAAATCTCTTGTCTCCCTGGCGGAAGGCTATGGCTGGAATGCATCAGAGCTTTTAAATATAAAAATAAGTTACAATGTAAGCAACATCTTGACATTTTAACACTTACAGTTTAGTACCTTAGTTCTCATGTCACTGGAATTTATCAAACGGCAAGTTCAGTTATACGATCTGAATCATACCAGCTATTAGACTGACTCCTCGTATGGCTGCATTCTGTAGGAGCTAATGAAGAAGCCCACCATCTCTGTGCCAACCACGAAGCAGCTGGCGCGTCTGGCTGAAATGGAGCAGACAGTGGCAGAACAGGACACATCTCTATCATCCCTAACGCACAAGCTGAAGGTTCTGACTGCTGAACTGGACAAACAGAGACAGGCCACAGCTTCTCAGGCTAAAGAGCACGTGGCACAATTAGCCAAGTGAGTTTCAGAGCATGTGGTAAGCAGACCAGATTCGGAAAGCTGTTTGACCTGTTACTGCACCCAATAACGTGCCAATTCAATATTGCCGTACAGAGTGTTGCATTTATATGTCAACAAAAAACCATGAATTGGTCAGAGTATGATATTGGAAATACTTATGCATGAATTTGAGTCCAGTCCTTTCCATTAAAGGGCCCATAGCATGGCAAAACTGATTTTCCTCACAATTTAAAATAAATATTGTGTGAGGTCATATATAAGCATTAAAGTTCCAAAATTCATTAATGCATATATTCGATTTATGGAAACAAAGTTGCAAAAACAGCCCGTTTTGAATTAATTATTTTTGTGATTACATGTAACTGCCTACAGCAGGTCAGATAACCATTCCAACTATAACCTTTGAAGTGCCGCACTGGCTAACATAGAATCTGTATCTCATATCCGATCAACAGTCCTGGGTATTTTCAACTTGCTGTGTTTTCCAGGCTAGAGGAGAGGCATTCTTCCCAGATGAAGGCTCTGTCTCAGGAGGCAGAAGAGCTGAGATCCCAGCTGTTCCAGATGGAGAAAGAGCTACAGTACCTACGTACTGAGCTGGAGGCCCAGAAAGAGGCTAACGTGCGCTCACCAAGTAACACTATGAAGAACCTGGTTGAGCGTCTGAAAGCCCAGCTGGCCCTCAAGGAGAAACAACAGAAGGTACATTTCACTATCATGCTTCAGAAAGCACATGAAAAGGCTTAGGAAAATAGCTCTTATGTAACTGTTACATCATTTTGTGAGAGAGAAGCGTCTCACAACTTGACATATAAGTAATGTGTTTAGTTGGGTAGTCTTTGCTTTGGGTGTACTTGCATAAAGGAAAAGCTGGGCTGTCAGTTCATGTATCTTTGTCTTTGAGTGTAGGCTCTCAGTAAGGCTCTGCTGGAGCTTCGTGCAGAGATGACGTCCCACGCCGAGCAGCAGATCATTGCAAATGCAGCCCAAAAGGAAGAGTCCCTTAACATTCAGCAGATTGTGGACAAGCAAACCAAAGAACTCAAGGTCAGCACTCTGGAAACACATGAATGCATAGAAAGCATTTTAAAGTAAGCCTGTTAATCCAGGCCTCATTTGGATGTGCATTGACACAGAGAAAACACTAGCTGAGGGTCAATGTTTGTTTATGCAACCGATCCCCCCAAAAGTGAACCTTCTTTCGGTGTCTGTGAGTTACATGTACTTACTTTGTACAAATATGCCTTTGCTGTCAGGCCCATGTGAAGGAGCTGAGTGAGGAGTTACAGGGCTGGAAGGAGAATGTGAGAGCGGCCAAAACTCGAGAGAGCTCTCTGAAGGAGGAGGTAGAGAACCTCAACAAGGAGCTGCAAAAGAGTCAGAAGAGCCAGAGCAGGCTGCAGAGTGAGAGGGACACTCTGGAAGAGCAGCTGGAGGAGCTCAAGCAGAAAGTCAAGAGACTCAGCAGTGGCTTGCAGGTCAGGCAGAATACCATTGCTTATCGTCATACCCATGGCCTGATCTATCCAAAAAACTAGCACGCTTTATCATCCTGTAGCTACTTAAAAATACAAACAGCTATTTCTGACAGTGCCTCAGAGAACCAGTGATTCTCTAAGAATGCCATTGGAGGCAAAGGCATCAGGGGAATCCCAAAAGTGACAGCCCGTTTACATGGGGTCTGCTAGTACAGTGGCTCCCTTTTACAGCAGTAAATATGTCTAGACAACGCTCTGCTATTCATCATTCTTTCTTTCCTCTGTGACTTTTCTAAGGGTCTGAGTCTTCTAAGGCTTCTAGAAAGAGATTTTTTGTATCAATTGAATACTAATGCGGGAAAAAATCCAAAAGTGTATTTCTGCCAATGTCAAGGCAGTAAGCTATCTGTATCATTATGTATGCCATTTATCTCTACATCATCATCTGTATATGTTAATACAAAAATGCATGTGTGTTACAGGGTCAAGCTGAAAGTGAAGTTAAGGGCCCCTCTGTAGAGGCTCTGCAGAAGAAGATCCGCAAGCTGGAGTCTGAGCTGGACAAGAAGAGTGTATCAGAGCCTGCAGAAAGAAAGACCACGGTGAAGGATGACAAGGTGAGCACGCAAAGTAATTCTAATCACCTGTCAGGTGAGGGTGCACATACCTTTTAATGGTAAAATTCAGCATGTAAAATATGTATAAATATATAAATAATGTATATTTTGGTGATTAGGTGTTCAAAATAGTTAAATAAACACAACCTTTTCAAAAGAAAATTTTTATGCTAATGTTAATACACAGTTACATTATATTTTATAATATATATTTAACTCAAAATAAATCATTTTAATCAGGCAAATGTTTGGACACCCTTCTAGCTGTAAAGTCACAATTTAACTCAATAGATCTTTATTGACCCCTTGCACAATCACTATTTTACTTTTTTCTATTTTTATTTTGTTTGGGGCAAAGGTTATGTATGTTCTTTTCACTTCAAAAATCAACAAAAAAAGGTGCCCAAACTTTTGCATACAACTGAATATCACAAGAATTAACATATCACAAGAATTGTAGACAACATATTCTAAGAAAAATATTCACTTTTAACTACAAGCAGTTTTGCAGATAATGTGTTGGTTTCTGTCCTAGCAGTCCTCTAAAGAAGAACTGGTGAGGTGGGAGGAGGGTAAAAAGTGGCAGGCCAGGATGGAGAAAGTCCGGAACATTTTGAAAGAGAAGGAGAAAGAAACAGACTCCCTCTCCAGACAGCTGTCTACCCTGAAAGAGCTCTATGGAAGGTCACAAACAAGATACCATATCCCACTTCATTTTAATTTGAAATACGTAAATATCTGATGATGAAAATTATGTAAAATTGGACTTTAACACTGCTGGTGCTTTTCCTTATGCTGTGCAGGCTGGAGCAAGAGAAGGTGGGCCTGCAGAAGAAGCTGAAAAGTCGTGGAGTGACAGCTGATCAGGTGGTAGGTGCACGGACTCTCGAGACTGACCAAGAGATCGAGGCACTGATGAAAAGGAACTGTGAGCTGGAGCAGCAGATTGAAATAATTAAGTATGTTTCACATTTTACCATACCATCTTCCATTTATTGGTTAGTTAAAAGATTGTGGTCTAATCTGTTGTAATAGCATTTGTATGTGATGTAACTAGAAAACAAGCTGATAGATGGGACAGTCACAGTGTTATAGTTTGTATTTGGGACAGTCACAGTGTTATAGTTTGTATTTGGGACAGTCAGAATGTTATAGTTAGAATTTTCTGTTTACTGTTCAGACAGCAACAGGCTTTACCTCGGGATGCTGCGATGGAGGACATGAACATCAGGAACCGCTATCTGGAGGAGAGGCTTCATTCTCTGGAGTCTCAGCTGGCAAAAGAGCCTCCATCCAGACCTTCTGTAAGCACACTTTTGCGTCTTTATTTACTTCTTTCTTTCTTTCCTTCTTCCTTTTTCTTCACAATTTCTCACACACAAGTTATGCCATAAAGAATAAAGAAAAGGAAACACTTTTCACTTATTTCACTCCTCATTAAAGGCAAAAATGGCTAATACTGTACAAACAGGGGCTGTTTAGCAAATAAGATCAGGCTGATAAAGCCTGTTTTACATATACTACCTATGCATGGCGTTAGCCATGCAGAACGTCTTGCTTTACGTTTTGCTGCTCTTCTCTCTTATCTTTATTTTACTTTTTCTTCTTTTCCAACATTTGCTTGCAAAGGATAAAAGTGGAGTTTCATCTTCCCAATTCAGCTTGTCTCCAAAAGGTGTTCACTCTATGAACTTTAAAGTCACACATGACAGTCAAGATAAAAATATCCAGTCTTCCACATTAAGCAACAACAAACCTTTCCATCCACAAGAACGCTATGGGGAGATAATAGCTGATAAGGTGCAAACAGTCATGGTGGTCAGGGAAACGCAAACTGAACGCGAGGCAGCTGCAGAAGAGAGTGGAGATAAATCAATCCCTGCAAAAGAGGGCGGTACAGACCAGGAATTGGGCGACCTGGCAGGGACAGATGAACGTAATGGAGATGAGAATGATGGGAAAGAAAGTGATGACAAGCCCATAGATGAGGCTAAGGTAGACCAAAAAGAGCAAGAGGATGTTAAAGATGACCAAGAAAGCCAGCCTGCAAAAGAGCCAGAAATAAAACATACTGAAACTGAGGAGGAGGAGCAGAAAAGGGAGACAGCTCCCATAAAGCAAGACTTAACAGAACCAGATAGGCCAGAGGAGGAACCAGATAGGCCAGAGGAGGAACCTAAGGAACAAGAACAGGACGAGCAAGAGCAGGGTAAAACCAACCAATATACAGAGGGAAGGGAAACGTTTGTGACTGAGGGAGAATCAGCCCTGGAGGAGCCAAACAAGGACTTGCAGGTATCTACAGAGTCTCATACCGGTAAAAAGTCAGAAACAGAGGGTCCCTCCATTGAGCAGCAAAGACCGAGTACTTTGGAGGATGGAGTCATGTGTGAAGAACCAGCCATTGAGAAAACTGAAGAGACCTCCATCACAGAGCATGATGGGGACCCAAGTGCTGTTGACCCCAAAAACATTCTTGACATGCCAGAGAGTGAGTTTACCTTCGAAGACGGTGGCCTTAGACCAGTGCCATCAAGAGCTGCCATGATTGATGGAAATAAACAGGGGAGGCATAGCAAAGTGAAACCAACCAAGTTTCCCAAGGTACTTGATCTTAGGGTGTTCCATCAAGAGAGATAACAGATCCTGAAAGCTCCATAGGCTTCCTGCTTGTGTTCCTTTCCAGTGTCCCAGAGCTGTGCATCTTGCCGTACTATAGCAGCCACGCATTTTTGTCAAACCCTGATCCTGAATTGTTATTTATTCACTTTATTCACATTAATTTGTTATTTCCATATTAAATGTGATGTCATTTGCTGCACAGACATCCGGCAGGGGCTCTGGTACACCATCACAGAAGGAGCACGAGCTACAGAAAGAGAACCTCAAACTGTCCACAGAGAACCTGGAGCTTCGCTTTCAGCTAGAGCAGGCCAACAAAGACCTGCCCCGTCTTAAGGTACAGCTAAGTTCTTACTCTTAAGAGAATGCATCCCCAAAAATGCTAACAGAGAGTGGACCAGCTACCTTGACCTTATTTGCATAGTGCTAAGTAACCTTGCTTGCGTGCTTTCATTCATAATCACAACATTAGCATTTATTGGATGAAATATTCCTTTAAAAACATCTAGGACAGGCCCTCTGAGGCATTTTAACAACATAGCTTGCTTTGAATATAGCACAAGTGGCACAATGAGGACAATCCTATTATTGTTCGTCAACAGGATCAGGTATCTGACCTCAAAGAGATGTGTAATGTGCTGAAAAAGGAAAAAGCAGAGGTGGAAAAAAAGCTGGGGCATGTCCGTGGGGTAGGTCTTAGTATCCGTCATCTCATCTTGAGGTTTCTATTAAAAAACATCTGTCGTATGCTGTGAGAGGATTATCTGTGTTGTTTGACTTCTTTGTGGTGCTGCCATCATGATAAACAGGGATTTGGATAGAAAATGCTTTCTCACAGCTCATTCTTGTGCAGTCTGGACGGAGTGGAAAAACAGTCCCTGAGCTGGAGAAGACTATTGCACTGATGAAAAAGGTGGTGGAGAAGGTGCAAAAAGAGAATGAGAGTCTGAAAAAGAGCTCGACCGCCGCGACACAAGAGCAGCTAACCACTCTGGAACGAGAACACGAGAAATTAAAGGTTAAAGCGATAGTTTGGCCAAAAAAATTATTTACATTGTTTTCCCTTTACTTTGAATGTAGATAAATAGCCAAGACATGTTTGGCATCCATATCAAGTGAAGTAATCTGAAACACACAGGCTTGTGTGGTTTCTGACACTGTATGACATATGGTTATCTATAAAAATGGACAAAAGTATTTTGCATAGCTGAAAGCAGTAGTAGTCATCTTGAAGCCTGAAACTGTTCTTTTGTCCATTTTATACATAATATTTATTTTCCACCAATTTTTTTCATTTTTGGGCAACAGGCTGAATATGACAAGATGAAGGGGAAAATGGAAGTTCAGCTGACATCAAGACTTGAATCAAAAACTAAAGGAATGGAGAAAATTGTGATGGAAAATGAGCGACTACGCAGGGATATCAAGAAGGTAAGACTTTCCAGCATTTGGCTGAAGTGTATCTAATTTAAAGTCGTCTGGATGTGTTAAAATAAATTATAACTTGGATTGTAAAAGAGGTAGTGTGCTCCAATACAGGAATCTGAGACTGCAGAGAAGCTGAGAGTGGAAAAGGCCAGTCTGGAGGTAAAAAATGAGAAGCTAAGGGCAGAGCTTGAGGAGACCATCCAGAAGCTTCTGCTGGCTCAGTCCAAGGGGCCATCGTTAGAGAGGGCAGATAGCAAGAGCTGGAAATCTACGGTCGTGACCAGGTACTGTAATGACTATAAATCTTTTCCCTTTTATTTCTATTTCCTTGAAGTATCAAGATCTCAGTCACTAAATGTGTAATATTAACTCTGCAAAAGTCAGAGGCCATCCTTTGATTTATTTCATTTCCAGTTAAAACAGCTATCAGGGACAAGTTGTTCATTTTTGAGCATCAGAAGGAAAAAAGCAGCATATACATTTAACAGAAAATTTGAAGTCTCAGCAACTAAATATGACATTAAGCGTTTCAGTACTCAGTGTGTCCACCCTTTGTCTTTATTATAAGCTGCATTCTTTTCAGGGTCTTGCTTTGTTTCCCAGAAAAATCAGTGGGGATATTGTTCCACAACAATCCAAAAAAAGTAACCTGTTTTTCCTGCAGGCTGTTTGAAAATAAAATGAAAGAGCTTGAGAGTGAACTCTCAAAGAAAAATGCAAGTCTCTCAGAGCTTAAACTGCAGCTTACAGAGGCCTACGAGAAAGAGCAGAGAGCACAGCGTACCATCATACAGCTGAAGGAACAAGTATGTTAAAGTGATATTTTGGGGTCCATTTTATATGAAAATCTAGCTATGTGAAAATCTGGATATATACGATTTTTGTTTGTTATTTTTGCAGGTAGAGCTCTTGAAAAATATCCCCATAGGAGCAACTACCGATGAGGGGCTTGCTGTGGAGTTTCAGTCTGTTAGGTAATGTTAAGACAGTGTAGAGAGGAGGTAAATGAAAACAGATAATTGTAATCCATTTCAAAAGACTCCCAAAGTCTCACATAATCACACATGCCGACATGCATTTTACAGACTCGCAAACAATCAGCTGGAGCGTGAAAAGGCTCAGCTTCTTCAGCAGATCAAGAAATATGAAGAGCAGTTTGGAACCAGCATAACTGGACCAGGTACCATTATACTGAATAATAATGAATGCCATTAAATGATCTGTACCTTACTCAAAGCTAGCTCACCAGACTAACTTTAATTCTCTTTCTAGGATACAAAGAGCTTCAGGCCCAAATAAAAGTAGCCAGTGCTGAAAAGAATCAGCTGCAGGTATTTTTCCAAATAACATAGCATTTTTGTGTTGTATTCCACAGTACTGTTTCACATTAACATGATGTGATAATTGCTCATATCCTAAGGATGAAGTGAGAAGGATGACCAAAGAACTGGCAAACTTTGACCCAACGTTTTTTGAGGAGCTTGAAGATCTGAAGTTCAATTACAATGTGGAAGTGAAGAAAAACATCATTCTGGAAGAACAGCTGAAAAAACTTTCAGAACGCTTTGGAGTACCAGTGGACATCCCGACAGACGGATCGCTCAGCTAACACAAAACATGTGTACGGGAGGGTGCAAGTCTTAAATTATTTTAAAAGGCTCTATTAAGACCAAACACAGTACACACAGTGTGTGGGGATGACGACTTTGGAATGTTTTCATGATTCAGTTATTTTAATGAGAATTTTTTCGTGGAAGTATATTTAGGTACATTGTAAATTAGCCGTGCTTTTGTAACACAAAGATTAGAGCGTGTTTTTCTCCATGCTGGTTATTTTGTGGCCTTATTAAGTACCTACAAAATGTGCTGTTTTACATTTAGTAGCTCTGTTATGTGTACAGTACTATAAGTCATCAGTGAAATCTGACACAGTAAAGCTCAGAGACTGTCTGTAGCAAGTTTCCAGCTGTTTAAATGCCTTTATTACAACAGTTTCCATGTAGGATATATTTCATATTTTCACTTTTTTGTAATCAGGTCATTTATTTACTTATTTGTAGTGATGGTGATGTGCTGAAGAACTCAGACGTATCAAATAAATTATATACATTTTAACTCTCCCTCTTAAAATCGAGAGTGAATGAATCCACTGTTTAAAGCTTGCATTACCATACATCATGTGCCTACTATTATTAAGTGCTTAAATACATGCACAGCGGCTTCTTAAAGACTTACAATAAGCAGCTTTGATCTCATGGTAACATTTAAGAGCTGGCAAAGATTAACATCATTGACCATATTTTAAGCACAAGGTGAACAGTATACAGGAATGTTTTGTATTTCCCTGGTCCACCTTAAATTATCAGTTTTCAACCTGGATGTCTCGGAGGGAGTTGAAATGCTCTCCGTTGAAGCCGGACAGTATGCAGAATAAGTCCTTATGTGAGTCAGCCAAACCCGCTGGATCATACGCCTTCATGTCCACATGAACAACCACAGGCCGGGAGTTCAGAAAGGTGTCACCGTTGGGCCATTTCAGACCCAAATGATGGCGATGAACCTGTAACAACAGCCAATATCAGTGGAACATACAGCTTGAGAGACGGTGTGCAAACACATACACCTACAAGCAATAGATATAATTATGCACAAAAAATTGAGAAATGACTGGTGTCTGGACAATCCCAAGACTCTTGACTGAGAGATATGACATCACCTTGATAAGAGTCCCGTCATTACAGTGCCAAACGATTCCCTCCACGCGGCCCTCGTGGCATTCCTGGAACCAGGAGTAAAGCTGCTGGTATTCCACCGGAGGAGTGTTTCTGACTCGCAGGATCCCATGGGGCACCAGAACATGGACTGGATGCTTCTTGCTGCCCAACCCTGTGAAAAAGCAGTAAAGTTACACTACACCACTGTTAATTTTGTCTTTTGCTAAAAACGTCTTAAGTTGGCCATATCACGGTTCCATGTTCCTCACTTTTTTGAAATAAAAAAAAGTTTGTTGTAGTACGTAATAACTCGTTAAAGTACCAAAATGTACTGTTAATCCCCCAGCCTAGGGGTCGGCAACACGCGGCTCTTTACTGCCCTCTTATGGCTCCTCAGCAAAATTAGATTTTTAGGTAAAAATAAAATAATCCTCCTTTGCAGTAAAATAAAGATCTATTAATAGTTCTAACACAGTTTTAACACTAAGTTAATGTACCCTATATCTGCTAATTCACCCTTGAACCCTGGCACGCAGACTGCTGGTCACAGCAATGCAGACAACAGTCTCACCTAGCTAGCAGCTAACGACAAAGCAAAGAAAAAGATTTAAGATGAACATTGATAATTTAGAGACGAATGGACAGACTTTTTTGCATTTAGAAGCAGTCGGCTGGTTTCCTGATATGTTTAATCTGCAACGAGAAACTGTTAAACACTAAAAAGTCATGAAGATGAAGTCAGTTTCTTGTTCGAATTTTCCCGTTCCACCCTAAATGGTGCCGCAGCTACATTCTGGTGCTTCAGGCACCATTTAAGGTGGAACGGGAAAATTCGAACAAGAAACTGATTTCATCTTTGCGACTTCGAACAAGAAGCTGGCGAATGAGAAGCTGACTTCAGCTTCACAAAAACTTGAACGTTGAGAGATGTTTTACAAGAAACTGTTCTACTTTTGCGGAAATGTTTCCTGCCAGAGATGCAAGAAAAGTGGCTATAGCGGAGCTAAAGCTTAAAGTAAAGCAAAGCATGTCTGCATTTTCGTTATATTTTTAGCCTATACTAATACATTAGCACATACTGGGACATATTTACAGTCAAGATGGTGAAATGGACATGAAATGTTGTGGTTCCCAAAGTGGTTTGATTTTTGTTGAAAGGACAAAATGGCTCTTCTTAATATTTGGGTTGCTGACCCCTGGACTAGCCCATACAGTCCATCTAGGGAGCTATTAAGCAAAAACAGCTTGTTTTGAGATCACTGTTCTTGGGATGTCATCAAAATCAACACATTTCAATATATCCACCAATAAACTGCCCACAGCAGTTTAGCTCTCTGCAATTTTTAGCCTTATGTCACACAGCCCTTTCAAAGGACATTAGAACAGCTGCAGGCCATCGGTTCCTATTTTCACACCAATCTGCTTGATGCTTACCATACGGGTTTCCATTGATATTGGTTCCAATCAGCTCCAGCGTCTGCTCCATCAGCTCCGACAGTGGTACGCTGGCAATTTCCAGCAGACCTTCATCCTCAGGGTGAGGCCTCAAAACTAGAGCTAATCCAGCTTCATAATTCACCACAGAGGAATGCCAACAATACTGCTTGTTGGTATTCTCCACTGGAACCCATCCTTCAAAGTGAAAGCAGTTTTATGATCACCTTGGCTTCCACTCAATGCAATATAACGTACATGAGCACATCTGCCTCGCCTAATAAAAGTCTTGATAACTTGACTGATTAAGTGATTAAGTAGAACATGTGAGTGCCCAGGACTGGGATTGAGAATCTGCTTGTGATGTGATCTACAACAGAAGCTTTGAGGAGTGTCTACATTGCAAAACTCTCTGTTTACCAGGGATATGACCATGTTCATCAGGCACTGGATGACCGTTCTCATGCTGGACCCGGTGTGCAGGAATCCAGGAGTCGGGCACAGCTCTGAAATCTTCTTCTACATTCCATGTGAAACCTGTCATGAGAGAACATAAACCACACCATCTGACCTTCAGAACACAGATATATTATCTGGCAATCTACTACAGATGGGCAATATGATGACCATTTATACATAAATTATGACAAACTTTATATCATGTATATGGTCAGTTCTAGAAAAACGAAACAACTGCATGCACCATAAAAAAAGACAAATTGTAGAGCCTGTAACAGCAACAACCAGTGTAGAGTAACGCCTTAAACCACAAAGTAATACATATCTGTTTGGATGTCGTCTCATTATGCCATTATATTTTTATCTTTAATTATTTACTCTTATTAGAGACGTCACAATACCAGATTTTTTTTTTTTTTACATGAAAATGTCCTCAAGTATCACAATGTAATTTTTGCCACATCTCCCACTATGCTGTACTACTGATGAAGAGAAAGCTGAATTATTGCTGTCGGAAGAAAACCTTGTATCTCCAAAATGGTAACTTTACAGGAAAAGGAAAAAACATACTTTACTTTTAATGTAAGTCAATGGAACCAGACTTTTTTCCCCCCCAAGTTATTTTGGGTCGTTTCTTTTAGCACATTCATCATGAAATTTACATGCCATGTAATGGACAACAAATTGAAAGGTTTTTTCAAATTATGTCAAAAACTGAAAAATGTCAAAAATGGAGATACGAGGTTTTCTTCCTACAACAATGATATGCTGAACTTTGAGAAGATGAGGTGAATACCTTTACAGGTCTTCTGAGAGTGCTGATACTTTTTGAACCTCTTGTCTGCCTGCTTGGTTGGTTTCCGATCTAAGCGTGCCCAAAGGTACGGTTCACCTTCAAAAGCAGACAAAATGAACTGTCTTTAAACAGCTGCATGAAAAAACTAAATATTATACAGTATATGAACAGCTGTGAGACAATTACTGTTTCCATAGTAACACTCGGTGCAAGCACAGAACTTCATCTGTTAACTGTTTCTAGTTGATATATTTCAGGCTGTCGTGCATTTGTACCTTTGTACGTTGTGACATAGCAGCATGTGCCATCCAGCTTCTCTGTGGCGAGGGCACAGTCGATGTCTGATTCCAGAGCCACAGGATTCACGTTTTCTGTAGCGACCACCTGAAATTGCTGAACACAAACAAGGGGGTGAATTTAACACAATAAAGCAAATAAAAAAAACCAAAAGCAACATAAAGAGTGACCATATTAAAGCCAGATCCAGCATGTCAGTATCGTTTTATTATGACTCCATGCAACCTGCCCCAAATATAATCCTGTCTTTAATATTTAATGCTTTGTTTACAAGGGTGCTGTCCCGATTGAGGTTGTAATACTAGTGGAAATACTAGTGACTATTCCAGTTCAGTGTTACCCACCTCTAGTTCAGGGGTCTGACTCATGAAGCAGGACTTCTTACTACCTTCAAAAGGGGACCTCCACTCATTTTTCAAAATTTCTATATAATTCATTCATTGCAAAAGTCGTCCAGTGTGGTTTGACGTTAAATGCTTTATTTGAGATAAATTTACAGAATTTCCATTTTCTTTGGGGACTATTTTGCCTTACAACGCCCTGTACGTACCCCTCCGCCATCAATGGATTTAAAGAAATATACCGTAGCCCAAATGCTGATGTCAAAACTATAATAAAACAATGTCTCCAGACATCAGGCAGCATATTCACACCCATTTACTGTAATAATCTTCTGTGAGGGAGCTTCTGGACGCATTAAATCCCTTAGACGTCTGGTTCCTATCAGTACCACTGTGAACAATTCTGACTCTGTAAGTTTTTCTAGAACAGAGCATTTCACATCAAATCACTCTGAATTATGTTGTTTACCTACATCTCAATCATTTAATTATGGAGAATTTTTTAAAATTCAGTTGAAATTAGCTTCAATCTAACCCTGGATTTTCTGTGTGGTAGGTTAAGTTTGGAGTTTGGCTCGTTCTTTTCTTGTGACATCTGTGGAGTCGATCTCAACAGCAGCAGAGGTGACTGTGCTGTTTTACACTTCTACATTATGTACTTTCTACATTTTGAATGTACTATAGTTTCTTTTTCCTTCTTTAAAAGAATGCACCTCCAGCAAAAGCCTCCTCACAGTCCATGCAACTGGCTTTCATGAGTCCAGTAGGAGGAACTAAGGAACATTCCCTCTGGACACTCCTCACCTGGCTTAAAGAGCCCATATTGCATTTTCCTCGCTTTATTTGAACAAAAGAATTTAATGTTTTTGAGATTTCAGTACCATTCAGTCCATCATTCGGGTCAATATGAAAACTAAGCTGCACTGTTTTTCATGAAAAGCAACACATTTACATACGACCACCCATCCAGCCTACAGCGATCCATACTATAGCAAAGAGAGTTTCAGACTGGTTTACTTTTGGAATATGGCATAATATACAAGTTAGTTCCGGCCACGCAAGCTGATTGGTTGAGAGTCGTTCTAACTACGCTGTTATTTCGCCATAACGTCACGGGTTTTTGCACAGACACTGTATCACTCCGCTGACACGCTGTTGCTCAGCAACGACTTTGACAGCTGTAGGAGACGCTCAGGCCATCTGAACGTTTTTACTTCTTACTTTGCGCACAAACAGAAAATGGACACTTTTAAGATCACATTTGACATGGAAGATGTCTGGAGATGAGACTACACTAAATTCCCAAACTGTCAGTTGGTCTGTGTGGAGCTGGAGAACGAACTGCCGGCTGTGCAGCGAGTGAGCGGAGCTCGTTACTCTGACGTAGCAACAGGCTGCTTGTTAAGGAACTATAATTTGGCGGAAGGACCTGCTGTCATTAAAACATATTGAATGCCGCGTTCACGGCCCAGTTTATTAATTTCTTACTTTATTTATTTAACTGTTGTATAAAAGCAATAGAAAACTCGAGGTCGTGTGTTAATCGCGAAATAACATCACGGCTGTGATGATCTACGACCAAATCACAGCCGTGATGTTATTTCGCGATAACACACTCCCTCTCGGGTTGTATTCCTTAAATATACGGTAGCCTGCTGATTTACATTTATCAGTCTTAAAGGCAAACCTCATAAGTATAACGGGAGAAACAAAAAATACAAGAAAAATGTAGGATATGGGGATGTGGGCCCTTTAAATTTCCAGCTGATGACATATGCCCTAAGACTGGAAGTGAGCAAGTGTTGATGCTCAAATTATCAAAGCATCTTTGCAATAAAAGCACTTAAGTTATTAAAAGCTGTAATATGTCTGTACAGAACGCAGTCACTTGCTGTGGTTAAGTATTACCAGTAATGTGATTTGCTTGAGCTGCCTATATGACTCCACGAGCAATCTAAGAATAACAATAAGAAGAAGAAGAAACTATTTTCTGGATCTCGCTGCAAAAATGTTTTTATTACCCCGCTATTTTCCCATTTCACCTTAAATGATGCGGCAGCTGCGTTATAGCGCCCCATTGTAACCAGGAGCCAGAATGTAGCTGCTATTCAATTTAAGGTGGACCGTCAATTCGAGTCAGAAGCTGGTAAATGAATACGAAACCAGCTTCAGCCTCGTGTGAAACACACTGTAACAGAAACAGCAGCGTGGAGGAAAAGCAGGAGCTTCAGCCAGACGTTTTGTTCTCCGCTCACCTGACAGTCTCGCTTTCTGGATGGTTCCTCTCTCACCTCCGTGAGGAAAACACAGGGGATCTTCCGCTGCACTGAGCCCAGGCGGCGCATTGCTGATCCTGCTCTTAATAACTTTAACACCTCAGTTCATAACATTTTATTTACCAGCGCTGCGCAAAAAAACGAGCCAAACTGAATAACTCAGCACACGCAGCGTTAGCAGGCTAAATAACGTTATCACCAGCCCATATTACACGCTACGCTGAATCTGACGGGGAAGCGACGCTCTTTACTGCCGCCTTGTGGTCCGGAGCCATTACAATAAGAATAAGATTCAACTGACATTTACTGAAAGATCAACTCCATATTCATAACATTAGAGAGCCGTTTAGCCTTCTTATCATTTAAAATAAATGTCAGAAACTGAATTAGTAGTAAGTATAAGCGTTACTAGTGCTAATAAAAAAAGAAACGAAAAGGAAAAAAAGAAGAAATCCCAAGTCAGAATAAAGCGATCAGCCACTAGAGGGCGTGCGGTACTGTGATGTGGCGTTCTTCCCAGAATCGTATGCAACAAAAGTCTGGGCACTCCGGGTAAAAATAAATAAATAATACATAAAATGTGGCCTGTGCTAAAGATATAGCACTTTTTATATTGTAGTCCTTCCCATTATGTTAAACTCAGTAGATACACAGAAATTGTTCACTAAAACTTGCTGAAAATGTCACTTAATTGTGTTCCCTGTAGAGAATGCGTTCACTTAGTTTCACAAAAATAAATAAACATGTAATTTGACCAGGGAGTCAGACTTTTAATGTTAGGTTAGTTTATCTTCTTGTATTTCTGTGTAAAAAAGTAAGTTACGTGTTCAACCCAAGCGAACTACAGCATTTAAATGTTCTAGTCTTTCATAGAAAACATGTATTTCAATGTCAATGAAACAAATGAACTCAAATCAGTCTGGCCTGCAATTCTATATTCCTGATAAGATGACGACCTGATTTCTCTACACATATCAGCCTTAACACAGATATACTGCCAAACGTCTACAGTCTCTTGTGCTGTTGGATAATAAACACCTCACCTTTTTATACAGTAACATGTTAAAATCTGTTGTAAACACATTAAAAGTCGTCGTACCCGCAGAAACTGTAGCTGTTTATAACGATCTTGACTGGGATCGTCAGTGTGAAGCCAGAGAAAGTCCCCGCTCCTGTTTCCCGCTCTGGGCGCAACCAAGTTTTTTCAAGCCGGGGGGAAACCAAAATATTTCAATGTATTATAGTATTATTAGTAATGCTTATTTACCATGGTATTTATTCAATAAGTAAAACAAATACTTCTTAATGTTTTATTACGGAATAATTATTAACAAATTATTCTTAACTATTGGGGAGCTTTATGGCGACGCGTGCCCCACTCCTGGATATGATGTCTATGAGCCCCGTGCCTTATTTTCTCTCAATTTAGTTTTACGAGGTCAAACAAGCAACTAATAACTACTTATTTTCTCCAGATTTTGAGTTAGTATGTCAGAATAATGTCAGAATGCCCTTTTCTCAAAAGCCTTACTTTATAATTAGTACGTCATGTATTTGTACATTACATACGTTAGAATGTTATTAGTACAGTACCGTTAATATGTGGAAAACCGATATGCCCAAATATGGGCATGTCGATGACGTCACAATGGGACGTATGAGGGTATATATATATATGACGTCCATCAAAGAAGAAATCACTTTTGGATTTCCACTCGATCAGTGACGTTGTTGGAGACTATTCGAATGTAATTCTTTGCATACTTTTGTTTATTGTCATTACTGAGGTGTGGTAATCATGAAGGAGAAGAACAATCAGAAGAAGAGTAAAAGAACCTTCCTACTGGAGGAACAACAGGTTCTACAGCCAATGGCGGTGAGCCTGGAACCCTGTGATGGTACACTTCGTAGTAAGGGCAGCAATTCTTTTCTGCCAGATATCTGGAAAAAAGAACCCCAGACTGTGAAGAAGCCTCAGAAGAACCCAAGGCCCAGAGCACCCACCAAGCTTCCGCCGCTGCCTGTGCAGACTGTCAGTGGAAACCGAGGCACCGGCATCAGCAGTAAACCTCCTGCAGAACCCAATCTGCGGAATGTTGTAGATGCAGAGGTCAAAATGTCAAAAACAACCCAGCAAATCTATGTGACTGCTGGTAGTAGGACGCTGCTCAAACCCCTGACAGCTTACCGAGCTCACTGTGCTGTGAGTGGAGGGATCCACACTCCTGCTGAACATCCACACACTCAGCAGACACCACCTGCTGGTCCAAAACCTCTGAGGCTCGTGTCACAGAGAAGACATAGACCCGTCCTGAAACCACTTGAGAAGGCAGTGCTGGAGCACAAAAAGAAGGAAAAACACTGAGCTCAAACAGGACGTCCCAGCAGAGACAGCAGAGACTCAGACTGAACAACAGAAAGAGGTGCAGAGCAAAGATCTGGAACAGGAGACACATGAGCACGTTGAGGTCTCCTCTCAGGATGATGACAGTGCTCGTGAACCTGATGTTGCTCCATCTGTAACTGAGCAGGAAGTTCCTGTGGTCTATCTGCGCCGGAGAAGGAGATCTAGGAGGACAACAGCAGAGCTCTGTGGGACACTTGGCATCAACCTGGACTTGTTTCAAACACAAATGCTCTGTCTGCGTGTGTCCATCTCCCCGGGCCTGCCTGAGGTAGAGGAGGACAATGAAAGGGACAGAGAGTCATAGCAGCAGAGTGAAGACTCTAAGGCTAGAGATCATCATCTACACTGACCCTCAAGACAAAGAGCCCAATGCCAAAGAGCCCACCTTCCATCATGTCTAACAACTATAGACCAGCAGGAAAATGCCAGCAAAAGAGAAAAGTAAATAAATAAAAGCATTATATCTTGGTGTCTTGGTTGTGTATAATAGGTTAAGAAGTATTATTAAGGTTCTGATTCATGTCTTGAAATGAAAAGGTTTGTGCAGTTTATTGAACTGGATATTAGAGTATTATAACAGACCGCACAAAATGTAAAAAGCACCAGAATTGAAATGCTTTATAAATATTATTGGAGTCGAAAATACTTAATTGAACTTTACTCGGATTTATAGTGGTATTGAAATTTAGTATTTGTATTTTGACACAATTATATTACACAGAGAAAAAATGTTACGAAGAGAAAAAATTAAATTGGCTTGAAAAGTCCAACTTATTGTTCGGCTTATTATTACTCTGCACTCAAAATACACACACACTGCTTCAACATACTCATTCAAAACACACACACATTCAACATATACTTATGGGTGAGTGAATTAGTGTGTTAGAGAGTGAGTGTGTGAGGGAGTGAATGAGTTATGTGAGAGTGAGCTTATCACTGAGTTAGTGAGTAAATATGTGTTAGTGAGTGCTTAAATGAATGAGTAAATTAGTGAATGAGAGTGAATTAGTGAGTGTATGAATGAGTGAGGGTTTGAGTGAGTGTGTTATTGAGTCAGTGTTTGGATGAGGTAATGAGTGAATAAATGTGTGAACTTGTGAGTGAATGTTTAAGTGAATGAGTGAATTAGTGAGCGTGTAAGAGAGTGAGTAAGTGAATGAGTGTACTGATGAGTGTAAGTGAACATGTGAGTGAGTGTTTGAGTTAGTATATGAGGCAGTGTGTGAGTGAGTGAGTGAGTGAATGTGTATGTAAGTAAGTGTGCAAGGGAGTATGTGAGGGAGTGAGTGAGCAAATGTGTGTGTGTGAGTGTCAGTGTGTGCAGACAGATAGAAGAGTGGTCACCCACCTTCCTCCTGCAGATCTTCTTTCCAACAAAGTATTGTTACAACCTGCATCTCACATGCTGACTAAAATAAATGTATTTCTCATGAAACCTTAAAACGTGCAGTATTATTGGAGTATTATGAATGAGTGAGTCGGTGTGCAAGCGCAACATTTTGTGAGTGAATGAGTATGCAAGGGAATAAATGTGTGAGAGTGTGGAAGGTAGTGAGTGTGTGAGTGAGTGAATGAAAAAGATTCAGCATTAATTTTTAGGGGTGGGGGGGTCTTAGAGGAGAGAGCTCACCTGCTCTGTCTGTTGGTCAACTGATTTGGAGTAACAGGTAATGGAATAATAATCTTTGGAAAAAATAAGTTCTAATAAAACTCTCATCATTTGCATTTTGATAAAGAATATTTTGCTTGTGAATTTTTTTTGAAACCTTTGGCACAAAATTACCTCCACAATCTAACTGCAAAAATGCGTAGGGGTGTTCTCAGAGCAACGAGTCAAATGACTTGTTTTTGACTTTGTGTAGATTTGAGATGCGCTTCAGTATTTCATTTATTATCATTTATTATATTTTATATAATATTTTATTTATAACTTGATTTGCAAACGATCTGGTTTAATTATTGATTCTAATGTTGCTCTTTACTCAACCTCAAAACATTAGTTTATATAAGCACTTCAATACTTGCCAAATTAACCTGAATATCATTTTATTTCTAGTCGATCTTTAAAGCATTTCATAGCACAACTTTTTGCTGAATTGTATTCTGTTCATTTCTGGTTAATGTCACAGCTGCTATTTGAAAAGCTTTCTTAGTTCAGAATTTGATATAGACTTGCTGTCACAATCTTCTTCAAAATCTGACCAAATGGAATATTATCTTATAGAAGTTATCTAATGTCTCTATTTAAAATTTTTTTTTAATGTGCTAAAGACAAGAAATGTGTAGTAACCATTAGTCGTACTATAGCAACTGGTGCTTAGCGGAATGAGTTATTGTGGAAAAAAAAAGTTTCAACCAATCAGATTGTTCCATCAGAACTGTTGAATAAAAGTAAAGATAAAAATTTTTTTGCCGTGTTCGATTAGTGCATAAATGATGACATCAATCATGCTTATCCTGCCTTCAAGAAAATTTGGATTAAAAACTAAAATTGATTTACAGACATATTCTAATTTTGTCACAGTCCAAAAGATTTTATTTGTTCACTGGAATCCTGGAAAGTAACAACTGTGTGGTAAGTATTTTCTACATTTTACTACCTTTTATGATGTTTTTGTAGCAAATTGTATTTTTCCTGTAGACATCACAACCTCAAGAGAAGCCAAGATCATTTTAGCTTGCAGTCCAAAGATACTGACATGTAAACATAACAGAACAAAATCAGATTCGACTGGAAAAAGCCTCTGAGCCTCTAACTGTAATAGTATTTAAAAGATTAATATTATTAAGCCTTTCATTTTTATTTACACAAGACTTTCTAATTGTTCTTGACATTCACCCACATTTCAAGTCTCACATTTTCACTGTACCTTTACGTACAAGTTAAAGTCTTTAACAGTGAAATGACTCCAGGTCCAGGCAAACAAAGCATGCAGCCAGTACACTCAACTCACAGCCTTCATTGAAAATCCACAATAAATGTCTTAGCGGTGCTCTCTAGCCCAGAAGGCGGCTGCACATTCTGGACCAAGCGTCCAGTACTGTTCTACTTGAGTTCTCCATCTGGCTTCATGCTGAAGGGCTCCAGCCGTTCGCTCTCAGGCAGCAGGTTGTTGAGCCGCTCCATCAGAGGCACGGTCTGGTCGATGCCCATCTGGATCCGCCGCAAAATCATGGACATCTCGTTCACCTTCTGGATCTGCTCTGCGTATTTAGCATAGCGCTTCTGTCTGTCCTGCATGATGCTGAAGAGCGTCTCCACCGACAGGTCCATCTGGAAAAACAGATCAGACTGAGCAGTGGTCCCTATAGCGGTGGTCACCAACCCTGCTCCTGGAGATCTGTCTTACTGCAGGTTTCACCTCCAACCCAACACACCTTATTTAGCTAACACAACCCTTTCAGCGAACACACCTCATCCAACTAGTCAAGAACGTCTGAAGCTAATAATTAGATTGATCTAGTGTGGTCGATTAAGGTTGTACCTGAAGTCTGCAGGAAGGTAGATATACAGAAGCAGGGTTAGTGACAACTGAGGCCTCATATCTACAGAGGAGCGGGTCCTCTTCTAATAGAGGCTGCCGTGTTTCTACAGTAGCCCATTACTGATAAATCAAACACCAGCTTTACAGAGTAAAAAGAACCAAAAATCTGAAGAAGCAAAACAAAATTGGAACAGGTGACAGCAAAACACCTGAGGGCCACCGTAGGCTCTACTACATGCTTGGAAAGGGAGGGGTATTCACTTGGTTACTAGGTTTGTTTTATTAATTTATTTTGCAAATGAATATTACATATATTACTTTAACCATGAAGAGTGTTTTTGCGTGGTACTATTTTGAAATATTACTGAGAGTCACATTCAGAGAAGACATTTAATTTAAGAATGTAGAGATGCAAACATTTGAACACCCCGGTCACATTTCACACAGGTCGACCTATCCTCTATAAGAAACATAAATATGCCATTTTCCTGCATATTTTAGGACACGTCATTTGACCAGGGACGCCTAAACTTTGAAGTATAAAGAAGATACAGGGTAGCCGAGAGGGCTCAAGGTCACAGAAAATGCTCACTCACTGTCCATATTACCACATAGGGGCAAATTGTTTTTCTACACCTACATCTGTTTCTCTGCATACCTTGTTAGCCTTTCTGTACCTTGTTCATTAATGGTCAGAAACCCTACGTGACAACCACTGAGCAGGTACAATTTGGATTATTCTCAGCATTGCTGGAGTTTGTAAACACTGTGTCCACTTACTGTCCATTGTTAGACACACCTACCTTGTTGGTCCACCTTGTAGATGTATAAATGTAAACTCAGAGAAAATAGTTCATCTTTTGCAGCATAGTTTGTGTTAGTCATCCTCTAGTCCTTCATCAGTGCTCAGTTTATGGCATCAGGACGCTGTTGGTTCGTGGACTGTTCTCAGTCCAGCATCACAGAAAATTGTTTAAAACCTCTAGTATCACTGCTGTGTCTGATCCACTCTGTGCAACACATGCACACTAACATGTCACTGCCATGTCAGTGTCACACACTGTTGAAAATAATCCACCACACAAATCATACCTCTGCTGTGGTGGTCTGTCGGGGTCCTACCCATTCATGAATGGGGTAAGGGAGCAGGGGGTAACAAATTATCCAGTGAAACAGATGGACTACAGTCTCTAATTGTAACTACAAAGTACACCTATAGGATAAGTGTACCTGATAAAATGGACAATGAAGATGGACAATGTAGATACAAGTTGGGTGCACCTTTTAAAGTGGTCAGTGTGTGTCCATTTGGGTTTGTGCACTCAAAAAGTTACCGAACCCCTGTGTTAAAGTATATTGCTGGAGTACCTCTTTGATCCTTTTCACCAGAGCGTTCTGGTCAAAGGCCACAGCCTCGGCACACTGGTGAAGGTGGTCCTGGTAGCGCACGCAGAGCTGCAGCACCTGCACTGAGTCCAGCTTCTCCACAGACACCGTGCTGGGTGAAGTCTGCCCACTCAGAACACCTGACAACATCAGAACACTTATGTCTTAGGCTGAACAACATACAGTCACTAGATGGCAGTACTTAGCGTGTGGCACATCAAGGTCACATATACAGCACATGCTTTTAAAAAATATCCCCCATTTGTTATTGGAAGCTTGTTAGTCTGGGCACTTTAACGTTAGCTTTGTTAACATCACTGGTTACTGTTAACAACATGCTCTGGCTGACAGTCATATGATGAGAAAGAATATAAAAACACACAAGTGGTTCTTTGAGTTGTCATGGTTTTACAAATAACCATTGCCTCTACTAAAGAACCCCCTTTTTAAGGGTGTAGCGGTGCTCAACCATCTTTTGTACATCTTTAACCATCTACCTCCTCCTTCCCACTATCAGTTTCATGATGCTGTCCAGTATTTAGCTCTTTTGTTAAAAAAAAAAAGCTGCCATAGAAGAATATTTAATCCTTTCTGCCTTCCAACATCACTTCAGAAAACAGTCCTTGCATCATTATACCCAATGTACATCCATGCAGTTCCATAGCACTTTTAAGAGATTTAGAATCAGCCTGATCTTTTGAATGTGCTCTTTAAGGCTGATTGTGGAACTCTGATCCTCAATCAGCCTTAAAGGCCCATATCCTATATTTTTTTGTATTTTATTTTTCCCCTGAGGTTCATAGGCATAATTATTTTTTTCATTTTCCGACCACTTTATCCCTTAGGATTAAACGGGCTGTATAGTTACTGTGCCTTTAAGGCTGATATATGTAAATGAACTCCATTCTGATTGTTTTTTCTATATTGTGACTGATTTAAAAGCAGTTCAGGCTGAAAAACTCCTCATAACTTCAGTGTGAATGAGCAGGGCTAAACTGCTGTAGGCTGAAAAGCCGTATATACACCGATCAGGCATAACATTATGACCACCTCCTTGTTTCTATACTCATTGTCCATTTTATCAGCTCCACTTACTATATAGGTGCACTTTGTAGTTCTACAGTTACAGACTGTAGTCCATCTGTTTCTCTGATACTTTGTTAGTCCCTTTTTACCCTGTTCTTCAGTGGTCAGGACCCCCATGGACCCTCACAGAGCAGGTACTATTTGGGTGGTGGATCATTCTCAGCACTGCAGTAACACTGATGTGGTGGTGGTGTGTTAGTGTGTGTTGCGCTGGTCTGAGTGGATCAGACACAGCAGTGTTGCTGGAGTTTTTAAACACCTCAGTGTCACTGCTGGACTGAGAATAGTCCACCAACCAAAAATATCCAGCCAACAGTGTCCTGTGGGCAGCGTCCTGCGACCACTGATGAAGGACTAGAGGATGACCAACACAAACTGTGCAGCAGCAGATGAGCTATCGTCTCTGACTTTACATCTACAAGGTGGACTGACAAGGTAGGCATAATAATAGAGTGGACAGTGAGTGGACACAGTGTTTAAAAAACTCAAGCAGCACTGCTGTGTCTGATCCACTTGTACCAGCACAACACAGACTAACACACCACCACCAAGTCAGTGTTACTGCAGTGCTGAGAATGATCCACCACCCAAACAGTACCTGCTCTGTGAGGGTCCATGGGGGTCCTGACTACTGAAGAACAGGGTAAAAGGGGGCTAACAAAGTATGCAGAGAAACAGATGGACTACAGTCTGTAATTGGAGAACTACAAAGTGCACCTATATAGTAAGTGGAGCTGATAAAATGGACAATGAGCGTAGAAACAAGGAGGTGATCATAATGTTGTGCCTGACCGGTGTATGTTAATGTGTTGGTTTCTGTATCATCACAAAAACCTTGAATTTAAAACAGGCTGTTTTTGCAGTTGAGTTTCCATATATAGACTGTATAGACTGAGCAGTGAACAGTAAACTTTGAAACTTTAATAATGCTTACATACATCAAACTGTTTGGTTTAGAAACGGGAAGGGAAATTCAGTTTTTCACAATGCGGACCTTTAAAGTCCAACTGGCTTGTATTTTTCTAGGCACAATGTTAGTACTACCCTGGTGAAACACCAAGGAAACTAACACTCATATTGGAAGTAGGTTGTATGCTGTCAAGCATAACTGGTGCATTTCAATTATTCTACTGACAACAGCAATAATTTGAAAGTTTGACAAGAGACACTGAGCAAAGAGGTACTGCAATCAATAATAAAAGCTCTTACCCTTCAGAAGAGGCTGAAAGGTGGGGATCTCTTGAAGCTTGATGACATCAGGATCATTATGGATGTTGCGTAACGACTGTGTTCCTTGAGCAACAACCACTATGTCGTCCATTTTCGCTCTGTGCTTAGCTGGTGAAGGGACAACTAATACAATAAAAATACACATTTACTTGACTGTCAATCAGTGGTGAACGGATCATTCATGACAGCATAGTATTGTTTTTTGTGTAAATAATGACTGTCTTGTGCGTTATGAGTTTCATCCATTCTAGAGTAGCCGGACTGATGAACTGAAAGACAAATATAAAATAATTTTTCTTTTTAATACTTCAACAATACGCATGCTTTACCGCACATACAATCTATTGTGGATTATGTGTAATGTTAGGGAAGCTATTAGATAAATCTTAATGTGAAAACGGAAGCAACAGAGACCTCATATATCAAGAACAGTTACTCATCTGCAGAGGTGGGTAGTAAACAGATACATTTTACTCAGTTAAATAATCTTCAGTAATTGGATTTGTGCTTTCCTGAGGATTAGTTACTAATTCCACTAACAGCATCCGTACTGCTCTGTGACTGGTCCCACCTCTGATGTTTTCGGTTTATGATTGTACTTTAGACCAAAGGTGCATCGAAAGAAGAACAATGCCAAACAACTTTCAGTTCCTAAGCTGACAGTTGCTGGATGTACTAAAAAGGCTTGACTGCAGTTATTCAGTACTTACTCAAGTTGTGTTTGAAAAGGCACTTTTACTTTTACTTGAGTCATTCTTTCACTAAACTAACAAAATACTTTTTGCCCCACTCAGCTTGTCTATAATCAGTGAATGAGAATGGCAGAACACACCTGAAGAGTTGTAGTCTGAGTGCTTATGCTCAGCATCTCCACTTTGTTCAGCACCCATGGTGTAATTTTCCCCTGTAAAACAAGCCTGTTTTAACTCTGCAATGAGTCAGTTTAAATATTGTTACTGGGACATTCTAAAAAGCATACTTTAAAAAACTTTAACGTGGCTAAATATACTAAAAACAACGACCTAAGACCACCAAACCTCCCACTTACTTATTACTGATAATAGGTACTCTCTAGTGCTGCAAGGATGAACCTGTGATCCAGAAGGAAAGTAATCATTTTCTTCCCATTAAACCCATTACAAGCTAAAAGCTTAACGTGAAAAAGATTGCTTTTCTCTTGGATCACAGGTTCATCTTTTCAGCAGTACTTATGAACAGCGGTAGGTAGCTAAGAGGTTTTGCGTTCCTAGGTTGTTGTTTTAATACATTTCGCCACGTTAAGCGTTTTAGACTGTACATCCTGCAGCTGTGAGTTTAAGTGAACGTACGCAGCTCTTGTTTTGAAGAATTCAACCCTTTTAAAAGCGACCTGCTGATTCAGATCGGCTGGCACCACAAATGTAACAATGACTGACTTACCTTATATGATGGTGTTTAATTTTAGAGAGCCACTTCTGAATACAGTGGCAGTTAACCTGACTAACACAGTGTGTTGGTCAGACGCTGCAGCGCGGCGCTCAGCTCAGCTCAGCTGTGTAGTCTAGTCAGCTTTAGCAAGTCATTCAAGATACATTATTTTGTCATTTCAGCGACACTGTCAGCTCCGTTAGGCCATTTCACATCGCTGGACTCAGCTGGTTAGACGGTTTCCCTTCGTTCTTGCAGTCTGCAGGCTATAAGGTACTGTTTAAATACTACGAACCGCTCTTTTTGTACGTGTTTTAAACACCTCAGCCCGCTAACTTCTCTAATCAGCACAAAACAAAACAGACGCGGAGTGATGACCAAGGCGGTTTGCACGTGACGTCATTCCGCAAGCGCTGGAGAAAATGGAAAAAAATGAAGGGCCCCATATCCTACATTTTTCTTGAATTTCTCTTTTTCTGCTGAGATCTACTTATTACATTTGTGTGATTTTATGTAGCAGCACCAATTTCATGCTGTTGTCCAGCGTTTAGTTATTTGTTTAAAAAAAATCCTTGCTTCCTTGAATCCAGTACAGACCAATGCAGTTCCACAGCACTTTTAAGTGACTTAAAATCAGCCTGATTGTTTGAGTGTGGGAACTCTGATCCCCAGTCAGCCTTAAAGGGCCCAAATCCTATAATTTTTGTATTTATTTTTTTCCCCTGAGGTTGATTTATAACGTATATGTGGTTTTATGTACCAAAAACAGTCATAATTCATTGTTACACGACCATTTCCAACATCTTTTTATTTTTAAACTGCCTTTCTGCACTCACCACCATTGTTACTGTGCCTTTACTGATAGATGTAAATGAGCTTTGTTCTGATTGGCTGTCCCATATTGTGGTTGATTAAAAAAGCGATCCGGGCTGAAACACCCCTTATAACTTCAGTGCAATTCTGTGAATCCCATTGAGAATTATATGCCATCATTGATTAAACCCTATGCAAAAAAGGCCCGAAGTAAAACAATAATAAACTTTATTATTTCTGCATTGCAATATAATACTTTTTTATGATGATCTGTAATACTTTCACTTCCATATAATACTGTTGTATTACTATTTTATAGTAGTCTGTAATACTTTTGTTGTGTTTAGTGTAAGATTCTTACAGAAATTCCTGTAATATTCTATTCACATTCAAACTTCCATTAAAACCTTATTCTAAGAACCTTTCTTATAAGAGCATGGCCAGTGTGCGCAGTGTTAAGTCTGTCCATCAGTGTCAGCACCTAGCACAGCTTTTATCTGAACTACAGTGCCAATTGTAGCATATAATCTCTGCATATAATCTTGAGGAGATGCACCATCCAGGCCCAGCAGGTACAGAACAAGGATGACACATGTTAAAGGGGAATTCCACAGTTTTTTTCTGCATAATTAAATCTTCAAGATGTAAACAAGATCAGTCAGAGTTGTTTGATGTGAAATGTGCAGTTCTAAAAAAAACATCACAAATCAGATTTTACAGTGGTGGTGATAGAAACCAGATATCTGAAGTGTCTAAATGCAACCTCACACAAAGCTATTATAAAAAAAAGTTTTCTGAGTATGTTTTTTGTTGCCTGAGACATTGTTTTACGATGCATCATGACCCCTCATTCCTATCAGCACCACTGTAAAAAAAACCAAGCTGGTAAATTTCTCAACAGTGACCCGTTTCACATCAAACCACTCTAACTGACTTTGTTTACAGCTCAATGATTGAATTATGCAGAAATTTTGAGAAACCAGTGGAATTTCCCTTTAGGGATAAGTAGGCTTTAGATGTTGGAACATTGCTGTGAGGATTTGATTGCATTCAGCCACAAGAGCATTAGTAAGGTCAAGTACTGATGTTGGATGATTAGTTCTGGATCACTTCAACTCATCAGAGAATGCAGTTCTACTGTTCCCTAGCCAAATACTGTGGGGCTTTATACTCCTCTAGCTGATGCTTGCCACTGGGCATGGTGACCTTAGGTTTATGTGTGGCTGCTCCAGATTGACCCATTCTGTTGGCAAAGCTTTTCTATGAAGACCATACAAGATTTGCATGCATAACTGAAACAGACAGAAAAAAACATTAAAGGGCCAATATCCTGCATTTTTCTTGCATTTCATTTTTTTCTTTTGAGGTGCACATATAAGATTTATGTGATTTTTAAGTACCAAAAACAATCATAATTCAATTTTCCATTTTTACCCCTCATAATTAACGAGGCTGTGTGCCTTAAAGGCTGATATATTCAAATGACCACTGTTCTGATTAGCTGCCCTGTATTACATCTCATTTAAAAAGAAGTCCAAGCAGAAACGTCTCTTATAACTTCTGCGTGTGTGGGCGGGGCTAAACTGCTGTAGTCCAAATAGTGGGACATATGTAAACTTGTAGTTTTTTTGTGACATCACAGAAACAATGCATTCCAAACAGGCTGTTTTTGCACCTTATGGAGTGGAAATATTGTGTTTTGAAACTTTAAGAGTTTTCGTAGATGTCATGAAAGTGTGGAAAATTCCACAATATGGGCCCTTTAAATGTGAAACTGTGTCACAATTATAGGGGCGTTTTGCTGTAAAGTTATATTGTAAGACCTTGCAAAAGCTATGTTTGTGCAGCATTACGAAAGATATACATATTTTTAATGAGAATATGCACTTCCTCCATTGGTTCACTACTATAGTGAGCCCAGCGGGTGACACAGAACCATAAATGACTGATGATCTGTTTTTCCTGGTTCAGGTTTAGGTGAAGGCAATCATCTGAATACAAAAACACAGCACTCATTTCCTGCAGTATAGCTGTCTGCAGTCTGGAGGAAACAGTAAAACATCTGACAATCTTTATTTTTTTATTTTTTGACCAGCCTTATCTCCACTCTTATCTCTACACTAGATATATTAAGGTGCAAATTGATGTGCCATAAAGGTTTTAATGGCACTATTTTGACCACAAGTTCTGGAAAATATTCTAAATGCACTCTTATAATAACAAATGTATTGTATATCTGCCCCTTTCTTTCCCTTTTTGATTCTGGGTTACTTTCCTATTCAGCTGGATGTAATCACTCTTAAGTTAATACTGGAGTAATACAGGCTAGAAGATCCAAAAGAATTCACATTAATAACTCCAAACGTTAGTATTACAGCGTTACAACATGTAATTACATATGTGCTCTGAAAAAATACACCCATTCTCAGCCATGTCTCTGAATCGTGAGCAGCAGCGCAGCGCTGCGATTGGCTGACGTGAGTGTCCGTCTCACGTTTGTGGTTTGTAAGCTGCTCTCTGATTGGCTGAAGACGCTGCATAGGATTGTTCCAAAGACCTAATTGGTGGGAAATGTAGGTTAGTGGCCCGATAGTCACACGAAAAGAAGAAAAGTAGGTCAGAGACTGATTCCGTTTATGTCACAGTTCCTCACCCACCAGCCGCCCAACCAGCACCAAATAAGTGTGATGCCGTTTTATCTCTCCGGTAAGTGTCCTCGGCTTTATGTCTGAATATTTATGAGTGATGTGTGCTGTAATGTAGGCTGTAGTCGATGGACGTTGTGTGTGATTTTGCCCTTCATGTTATAGTTATTGATTTTAGGAGAGGAGGGGCGTTAGTGACATTTCCCTGGCAAAAGATGTCTCTGAAGTTAGCTTCTTATTCACAATTCTCCGTTCCACCTTAAACAGTGCAGCGGTTCCGTTCAGACGTCTTTAGGCGCCTGAGTGTAACCGCTGCACTGTTTAAGGTGGAACGGGAGAATTCGAAAAAGACGCTGGCGAATACGAAGCCAACTTCAGCCTCGTTGGCAGACGGTCCTTGTTGGCCACACTGGCGAGCCAGTTTTATGGTCATTTCATAGGTGTATTACTCGGCAGGTGCGCTTTCAGGCGCCCAAAAAACCGAAAGTAGGTTTTCCACATCAACGGAAGAGGTCGAGGTGACATCGAGCCGGTTGAAGTCGCCCGTACTTGCCTCCAGACTGCTGAGCACACCGTGACTAATGTGTTTCTGTGGGTTGGTCCTCACGTAGCCAGTTGTAGATATGCATTCCTAGAAAAGCGCGTGAACTGCGTTTAATTCATTTTCTCGTCCTGTCAGCTCGTATGTCCACCGTGTCCAGTTAAGGTACACGCTGTTCCCGAAGCCGGGCTGCTCCACATGGCTTTAGTGCACATGGTTGGGGAGGGGGGGTTGTTTGACAAAGGGGGAGTAGAGTAGAGTAGGGCTGAAAGATTAATCGCTTTTAAATCGGTATCGCAGGTGGAGTGAGTGCAGGTTCCAGAACGCACTCTGCAATGTTTATTATGGATCATAAATATATATATATATATATATATATATATATATATATATATATATATATATATACATGCATACATACATTGTTGTCTAAGCAAGTTTTAAATTGGGAAATGTTACCTAATAACACAGCTTGTCAGCTGCCTGTAGATGAGTTAACTTAGACCAATAAGAAGCAACAAAACACCCATGTTCTGCATATGTGACATCACAACTGACTGGACGCACTCAGCGTTCAAGCTTCTTGTCAGAAAAAGTGATATTTTGGTCTTCTAGACTAAGAAACAGGCCTGGAAGTTAATTTATAGAAAATAATTGCATTTAAATTGCAGTCACAGTATTGGTCAGAAAAATTGCAATTAAATATTTTCTCCAAATCGTTCAGCCCTAAAAGAGTGCGCCGTCTGTCTGTTCTGAATGTCCTAAGTTGCTTGTCTCTCTGCTTGCCCGCTGTGGTCAGAATGAGAAACAGTTCAAGTTTAAATCGCAGTGACGTTCTGTCAGCTCTAAGAACAGCTGCACGTTGTATTGTTTATAGCTGTTGCGGTACTGATGTTGAGAAAGGCTTTGATATGCAAATAAGCCCCTCAGCAAACCTCAGTATTTATTTGTGTGCTGTGGTCACCATGTCACCATGACTCTTTCTGTGAGTGTTTTTGATTAAGGTATTTAAATAAATACTAGGAATGCACTGATATGAGAATTCAGGGCTGAGGTCTGATATTTTTATGTACATGTTTACCAATGTTGATACATAAAGAATTATAAAATGTAGAAATCAGGACTAAATCTACCCAGATGTGCATTATGGACTGTAGAATGGACTTTAGAATATATTACATTTATTCATGGTTAAGAACTAAATTTAGTATGGTGAGGAACAATGTCAGAGAACTGAAATTTGGTATATTTGTGCATTTGATGAGTATCTAACAGTACCTGTTATAACTTTTTTTAAATTAGATGTCATTTTCATACTTACAATCAAATTGGATTAGTTTTTTGTTAAAAATCAGTAGTCCCATGTGACCAAAACATTAGA